ATTTAATATTTATAAATTTATTTATTAATATTTTCAATTGAATATAAGAAAATATTATATTTTATTATATATTTTCTATATGATTATTTATAATTTTGGCAGTAATTTTATTTTAGTTATATAAAATAATTAGTTTAACAACGCGCTTATTTATGTTCTCTTAATTATTTTTCCATTAGTAACATTAATTTATAAACAATCCATATGAGACCTTATTTTATATTATTGAATAAATAGCAGTAATTACTCATTGTTATAAGTACATAAGAAAAGTACATAAGAATATAAGAATATTTATCGGACAACGTCGATATTTGCTTATTTGAATTGCACATAAATTTGCACTCTGCACAAAGAAATATTGTCATAAGCAGTGGCATTTTGTCGACAATTCCTATGCTATTATGTATTTGTTTTAAGTTATTTGCACCAATTAAACCCATAGAATGAATCCCGAAGAATTTTGCCAGAAAGTTAGCAAGAGAATTTTTTGGTTGACCAACAATGCACCAATAATTTAGATCGAAATTCTCGTAGAGATTTTTATTCATTCATTCCTTTAGTATTCTTTTCATTTTCCTTCTTATTCTTAGCGAGAACACTGATTTTCACTGGTTGGACCGATAAAATTTATGGTTCACAATTTCATCTACTTTTATTGTAATATTTATACTTTATTAATACTTTTATTGTAATATTTATTGGTTTTATTGGTTTGATTAACTATTAACTCTCAATACTATCAGCTACAATTTTTAACTCTCAATACTATCAGCTATCAACTTTCATCAGCGAGTTATTTGGAGATAAAAGTTGAAATATGGATTTCTTTCTCTTTTAGTGATAAGGATTAGAAATTGAGCCAATAAAACTAAGCTAATGTTTCAAGGTGCATATAAGCCGTTCTGTTTCGATGTAATCACTATAGTTATAAAAAAATTTTCGAAGAATTAGATAATAGTAATAGGGACTTATGGTACTTTTATTCAAAACGAATTTCTCTTCATTTTTTTTTTGTTTAGTATTAAATGAGTATAGTTAGAAGTTTTATTGAATTATTATAAAATTTGGAAAAAAGAACTATTTTTATTTTAAATTAGGCAGTGAAATTCTTTAATAATATTTATGAATAAAGGGTGCTTAAATATTTATAAATGAAATTATAAAATTTCTTATTCGATTCAGAAAATTTATTTTCTCATAAATAAATATTTTCCAATCGAAATGTATTATTGAAAAAGAAGTCTTGTAAACAATTTATGTGGAACAATGCATTGATTTTATAATAAATCGAAATTTTCTCAAGGAATTTTCTTAATTTTTAAAGAAATTTTTGTAAAAAAAACAAAAAAAAAATCATGCATTTTTAATTTTTTCTTATCCACGATCACATTTCTTTTCAGTGGTAAATATTATAGTATTTCACTAAATTAATAGAAAATCAAGTGAAAATCAAATAAATTTTATCCAATTAAAAATTTCTTTGGTATATTGCGGACTGCAAATAATGCTAAAAGTCATTGAATAGTTATGGTTAAAATTTACTTTTTAAGTCAAACATACCCATTCAAAATAATAATATTTCCTAGATCTTCCAACATTTTATGTCTATTTCTATACGGTAGACGGACGTAGATAAGTGAAAAAGTTCGGAAGAGTTAGAAGGCTCAATGCTTATTTTCTAAAATATTTATTACTTCTATAATAAATATAGAAGAATCTTAAATTTGAAATTCTAATGGTACTACAATCTGCAATTTGACTGATTTATATGATTAGTAGAGACTAAAACCGTTTCGCCAGAGAATCACTTTGATACAAAGAATATCATCCGATTTTTTCACTTTTAATGAAAAATTTCCTGTCATGTCGAAGAGCGAGAATCATACAAATTATCATTCGATTATTTAGGTATATTTTTATTTCAAATTATTTAACTTGATTATGAGCAAATCTTTTTTTTTACCATTTTTCTATTAGATTTAATTTATATCAATTTTTTTCAGGTACCATTTTTCTAAAAAAGCAATAGAATTATGGAATTTCATGATAAAAAAAGTCTTGAAAAAGTCTCATTTTCCATTTTATATCTTCGTTCATCCATCACATACATTGAATATTAACATTAATAATTTTGATTTCTCTGTCAATCGTGATTGCTATAATCAGTATAATCTTATTTGACAGCACATATTTTTATTTGACAAACTCTATTCATTGTGCTTTAAAAGGATTTATTTTCGCCTGTAAATTAAGATTGAGAAGAAGAATTCTGAGGCATAAGAAACTGGATAAGAAATGGGATTATCGCTTAATTATTGTCACATTTATTAACAATTAACTATAATTTGATTCGTTTTTCTGCAAAAAAAAACCCCCAAATTATCACAGTTTCATGCTGCAAAAAATTAATGCAAATTAAAAATTAATATATACTTATATTAATATTTATATTATTTATATATATAATATTTAAAAATTCAAATTTTATTTTTTAAAATTTATATTGTTTAATTCAAATTTATATTTTTAATTTATTATGCTTAATTTTTTTCAGTTATTTTAATCATATAAGATTTTTTTTAGCGATTTTTCCAACTTGTAATTCAATACTTTTTTAAATTATCGGAATATTTTTTTTTCCCGGAAAAGATTCGATTTATTGTGGCGATTAAAATTTAAAGTTTAATTTTAATCTTGTATTTTCAATTTTTTAAAATCGAAATTAGAATTTCCTAAAAAATATTTTGGTTTATTAATGAATTACTTGATTTTCATTACTCCTTAACTTTATGGCTAAATAAGTTTGCTTTTACTTACTTTCCTTTATGGCTTTTACAGTTGCTCTTTGTCAAGATTGCTAATAACTAATCCGTAATAATATTTGTTAACTAACTTTAGTTTATTATTCATAATGACCTAAATTGAGCAAAAAAAAAGTGGCTATGATCGCGAGTGTTCTAATCTTTTTATAAATTTTAAGGCAACTACTGTTTAATCACAGAGAATCGGCTCGGCGGTCAGATTAAAGTGATTATGTTCAAGATTAGTATTTATTCTAGAGATTATTTGGCATATGACCATATATATATCTGTACATAATTTAGTGGATTCTTATATTTTTAATAGAGGTAATTTACTTTCAGATAACCGCTGTATCGACGTTAATCACTTTTGTAAATTAGCCTTTCGAAATAGTAATTATTATTATAATTTATCATATTTCCAATGCTTCCGAAATTTGTTTATTTATTGATTCTAAGGATGTCACATTGGATTTTACTTCTAATATAAGTTTACATACTAAAATAACTATTAAAAATAGAAAGTAATTTTGTACAGTAGTAGAATTTTTTTTTATAATACTAGGAAATGGCTTTTTGATCTGCTTGGTTCAATAATGGAATAAATAGATAGTACCATCAAAAATTGAATTAATAGCTTTATTAATAGGTTAATAGGTTCTTTCGAATATCAATGATATATCCTTGTTTTTAGTCTTAAAACGCCTTTTTCTCTTTGTAAAATTAAATTTCCATAAGGCAGATATGCAATTGTTATTATTCGGCAAAATGTCGATGCAAAATCGTGAATTATCCAATTAATAGAAGTGGTTGATGGTGGGAATTGCTTCAATTTCTTTCTTCTTCATTGCAATATTTTAGACCATCGAACAAATAAGCTAAAATAAATAAATACTCGTTCCTCTGGCTAATCGTACTGGAAAAATATGCCAGAGAAATGTTCCTTGGCAATAGAAATAGACAGGTGAGTCGCCAATATCACTCGGATTTTTGAACACATTGGCAATGGCTTTTGCAAGCAGTGATAATCAGTATAATTTACTTTAATCACTATTAGCCATCCATTACCAATGAAAGGCACTTCAGCTTTAATTAAGAAGTCATCATTTAATTATATAATTAATTTATTAATATAGAGAATATTGAACAAAAATGAGTGCAGCTTAAAAGCAGCAAAATTGCTAAATTTTTGATTTTTGAAAATTGGCTTTAACTGTCAATTGACATTTTTTTAAAGTAAAGGGTTATGGAAATAATTTCGTTGGCTTAGGTAAATCGATTTTATAACCGATTAGAAGCCTTAGGCTCAATGATGTTTATATCGTTTGACATCCATCTATCATTATTCACTCATTATTATTTAGTAAGTGACAAATGATTTTTATCCGACTCTGAAATGATAATGTGAATTCCATCTCAGAAATATTTTACTATTTCTTGTAAGGCCTATCAAATAAAATAAAACCTTTATATTGCATTATACTTTAAAACAATAGAAGAAATTTTCAACTATTAGGCTAATAAAATAATCTTAAAAAATCTTAGTGGACAAGGAGGCACTGTTTGGATGACATTAAAAATTATGGTATTAATCAATTAGTCAAGGATTGACATATATCCTTCAATAAACATCCATTAAATCTAAGCAATATTTCGATCTTATATTAACATAGAAAATAGTTTTCTAAGCTTAGTAAAATCATTTTTAAAAAATCTATTGGAAAATTTACCAATTCGTTTTTTTTTTTGAATAAATACGATTTTAAAAAATGAAATAAATTTAAAATTTATTTTAGATAAAAAGAAAGGAATTTATGAATTGAGGAAGAATATTTATTTTATGATTAATAAAAAATAAATAATTTAAATAAATAAATAAAATTTTAGAAAATATATGATAATATGATTAAAAAAACGGAAAAAAAAATTTTAGAGAAATTTTTCAAAAAAAAAAAACAATTTTCTTATCGAAATACTGGAAAATTAATGCTTATAACAATACATATATATTATTTATTACACCATGTATAACTAATTTTTATATATTTTAAATTTAAATTTAAAATCCAAGAAACAAAGAAGAAAATTTGTTTATCTTATTAATTTATCAATTTATCTTATATGATTCTCTACATTGCTTTTTTTTAAAAAAAAAATTTATACAAAAATTTCTACAATAAAATTTATTATTTATAAATGAATTTCATTTCTAATTCGTTATTCATTGCAGAACAAATAATAGTATGTGAAGGTGAATTAGCAAATATTACCTGCCCGGACAACAAATTTATCATAGTTTTATTAGCGAATTATGGTCGATTTACATTGTCACAGTGCAATCCAGCGCATGATACAGAGTTAAGTGTTACCTGTCATAACGACAAAACACTCGGAATTCTCCAATCAAGGTTAAATTTTCTATTGCGATGATTAATAGGATTAAAAAATGATTAATTGTGGTGGACATAATGGGTTTTATGGCGATAATCCATTTTAATTTGTCATAATTATATGGTTACTATTCGATTTTTTTTTTGCCATTTTCGCATGTTTTATATTTTTTTATAATCGGTATTTATTAAAAGGAAAAAAAAAATGCGAAATTTATTCTCGAATTGCGGCAATTAAAAAAGGGTGATTTGAAATTGATTAACCGTGATTAAAATATTCACAGCGAATTTAAAATGAAATATTTTTCCTGGTGATAATTTGATAATTTCGGTGATAATTCGGTGATAAGTTGTCAACATATAATTTGCTTTAGAGTTTCTGATAGAAATATGTTAAATTTCGGATATTCCATGTAGATTTTTTAAATAGGCAAAAATGGAGTAAAAATGAAATATGAAATGAAATTTAAAAAAAAAATACTTAGTTAAATTTCTAAATTGTATTAAATTGCTTCTCTTCGTTGTTCTAATATTTTATTATATTGCTTTTACGTTCATATTCGAATCAAATAATCCGATATTCTTATGAGATATTAAAAAAGAAAATTTAGGGAAAATATTATTTGAATAGTGAAAAAAAGGCTGTAAGGCAGATTCTTTTTTGTAGCTTTTATTTATATTTTTATTTTTGACTGCATTAATTGGCAAAATGAGACTGCTTTGCCAAAGAACCACTTGGTGATCACCAGCTTCCATTTGTTTTCACTTTTGATGATAAATGATAATGATTGTTTGCTGTGAGACAGGAATTCCATCTTAATTCGCTTTAATTCAAGTAATATATTATTCGGTCAATATGTTATTCGATCAAATCCCATTGTTTTATCATTTTATCACTGAAATTTGATTTCCTAAATTTTAGAAATTTTAGAAAAAATTTTTTGATAAAAATTTTGTTAAAAATTTATTTCATGAGTTACGGAAAAAGAAAATTTAGAAAGTTGATTTTTCTGTTTGGATAATTCATTAATGGAAAGAACTTTTTAAAAAAAATAACTAAGATTTTAGTACCATTTTAGGATTATTAATTATTTATTATGCATATAAACATATGTAAATATATATCGATGGAACTCTTCTGTGGGATTTTTATTTGATTAGCCTAGAAATATTATGTTTAGATATAAGAAATTTTTAACGTAAATATTATTGGCATATTTCGATGTATATAAACAGTGATACAGGATAGTACCTTCGTTTTATGTTCGTCAATAAATCTCACAATATTCTTTTAAGATTGTTTAAGCATTCTCTATGCTTCTATATGCATTTTTCTTTGCTTAAAAATTTAAAATAACTTAAATTCATTTTACATGTCTTAGTGATTTTATCAATCTTATCAATTTGTTTTGGCTATTAATCAGAAAATTATCCGGTTAATGATTTTTTCGTTTGATTATTTGATATGACCTGAGAGTTCTAATAAAATATTTAGCTTATAGCAGTCTAAGTTAAGATAATTGTGAAATCGGTCGACTGTAAATGAATAAAATTCGGCAAACGTTTGATATTCATAAAATTTGCATTGCTTGACTTATTTTCTCACCTCTTCAATAGATTTTCTTTTGTTCGCTTTAAAGACGATTATATGCATTTCATCGAGTTCAGAACAATTGACCTTTCTATGACCTTTGCATTCTAGGCTAATATTTAAGCGTTACTTGATTTGGTTTATCTTAGCGATACTGTTCTTCATTTTCATCATCTCCTCTTGATATATGACTAGTAGACATGATTAACTTATGCACAAACAAAATTAGATAACTATGGTATACAAATAATATTTTTTAGTGGGAAGCCTACGGTAATTGGTAATTCATTACCAGTTTATTTTATGAAATAATAATTAGCTATATAACTTGCATATTTTAATAAATAAAATTATTTTTTTTCAAATCATATTTAATTTGACCTGTTTTATTGATTGAAGTTCCATGAAGTTCCATCGAAGCGATTGAAAAAGGCTGTCAACCTAGTAGTCAATCAGACAAACCTGGCATTTAATATGGTTCTAAAAGAATAAAATTATTTTTAGTAGCGCTTATCCCTCTAAGAAAATAGTTATTTTCACTAAAAAAATATTAGCACATTTCTTTTTCAAACATTAAATTAAATGCATTGATGATTAACAAATGAGCATTTGCCTAAAAAGAAAATTAGTGCTAATATTCAGAATAAATATATATCCATCTGTGCTCAATGTACCTTAGCACTTAATTATAGTAGTTAAAGTCGATCTCTTTTTTTTTTTTTTATTATACAAATTGATTGTGACCGATGAAATAATCGGCAGGTGTCCCATTTTTATCGAATATATTTTATTATTTTTATTATTAAACTAACCAAAAATTAGGAAAAAAATATCTTAAATATCTTAAATAAATTAAAATAATTATTTTCTAAATAAGTCTAAATTTTAATTATCAAATATTTATTAAATAAAAATTGAAATAATAGAAAAAATTGAATAAATTAAAATAATTATTTTCTAAATAAACCTAATTTTTAACTATCAAATATTTGTTAAATAAAAATTGAAATAATTGATAAAATTAATTAAAATAAGAAAAAAAGCATTTATGAGAAAAAAATTCTCGAAATCCATATAAATTAATTCATACAAATAGAAACAATTTATTCGAGATAAATAAATATTTTTGCGGCATTTCTAATAACTATGAACAATAAATTGTCCGATCAGTAAAAAGGCCTATTATTAGGCGAATTGTTTTGAGGACGATCTCCTATCCTGTAAAGCGATAATTGTGCAATTCGATCCGATAATTTGTTCTGTCGTCAAGTGGTCAGCGAGTTAATCATTTCTTTATTGTCATCCACATTACCAATCATAATAATTATGAATATAAGAAAATTCACATGAATACTTCTTGATCGACTAACGCTTAAAAATTATTATCGAATTATTATAAATGCGATAAATTTATAACTTAAGTTTTCTAATTTTAAAATTCTATTTATATATGTCTTAATTAATAAAAAGAGGGAAAAAATATATATATATTTATATATATTTCTCAAAAAAATATATATAAATAAGTAAATAATAATAAATAAATAAGTTAAATAAATAAATTTCAGATCCATTAAATATATATAAATAAGTTTCAGAGCTAAGGCTTAAAGTCACTTGGAATCCATCGACCTATAAGTGAGCTCATAGATAGATTTTAGGAGATCCATGGAAATCTTTAAAAAAATTTATATTTATATATCTATATTTGTATTTATATCTATATTTTTACTAATCTTTGTATAATCTCTAACTGGCAGATTTTATGAAAACCAGCAGTGATTCGTATGACACCTTCGCCTGTAAAATATTATCACATTCTTCACCATTCTATTCCTAATTCCTTTATTCAATGATATTTATTTGTTGGAAATTTTTTTTTTCAAAGGCTCTCAGCATTACTGATCAAACTTGCACTGGCCTCAGCATTACTGATCAAACTTGCACTGTGCCAGAGAGTTTCTTGGTGATTGAAGTATAGGGATATAAGTGACCAGATTTTTAGACAGGTTTACTCCTGCCAGAAGTAAGAAATTTAGTACCAAATTGAGCAGCAACTCACTGTGCCAACCTACTCTCCTCTATAGACTTCAATGTAATATTTATAGGATTCATTGTACCAACAAGGACGTCCATAGCTCAAAAAATATTAAGTGTTCCAACTATTGTGGCATGGCGAAGCCTACTTTTTTTCCAGTTTTTCATTTTTATTTTTTTAATTTTTTTTCCAAAAACTATATTTTTTTTCAAAAATATTTTTTTTTATTATTTTCTATAAAAAATTTTTTTCTACAATCCTTTCACTGATGGTTTATGATTATTTTCAACGTAATTTTCACGCTTCAAAGCATTTGTAATGTTATTTCACGCATTTTATATCCTTTTTTTTTCACTCCTTTTTGCATCCATCTGGCAACTAAAATTAAAATTTTTGGCGACCGCCTGACTGCTTTTCAATCTTCACACGTAAAATACATAAATATGCATCTTTTTTCGAGGTCATATTTATTGTCGTTTTTTTTTCTTTTCTAATTACATGTTTTTTTACTAAATAAAAAGTAGCAAAAGAGAATGAAAAAAAAGAGAGGAGAAAATTCAAAAACGATTCTGGAAGGACGAAAATTTTTCCTTTAAATCCATCCCCATATTCCTATCAAATTACATCTTTTTTCTTCTATATTACAGATAAATCTACAGATTTATATAATTATACCATTTCATTAAGATACAATAAAATTCCTAATTAAATCTCAACGAAAGAAGAAAAAAAATACATATTTTTAGAACAAATGAATAAAAAAACGAATATTTTATAAAATTAGACTATTAAAGAAAGAATATTTTATATTTTTAGAATATAAAATATGAAATTGATATCGTGAAATTCTCGTGGGAAAATATAAGATTTATAGGGAAATAAAATTATTTAAAATAATTCATATTTAACAATCATCAAGAAATATTAGTAAAACTGTCATTCAGTCTCATCAGATTTCAGGTTTAATTTTCATTTGCTAAAAATGAATTTAATGAAAATAAATTTTATTAATAAATAATACAACCAGCTAGTATATGTGCAATGAAATTTTCTTTAAGGCTAAAAAGGGTTCAAAATATGAGAATATTGTAGTAAATCAGTCATTAGTCGACTATCCTATCCCTCTTTTAAATAACTAATTTTAGTTATCATAAGTGCAAATTTCTTAATATCTTAATTTATCAGTTCGCAAATTGTTTACTTAGCCTTTTAGTTAGGGCCAATTTATTGGTTTCGGAACGTTGCATATTTATTCTTTGAATTATTTTATCATATTTAGGTTTTCTTAAACTATTATTTAAAGGGAAAAGGGACAATTTATAATAAATATATGCAATATTTGCATGAAATCAAAGCGAACAATGAAATAGCGTAAATTATATAGATTTATCGAGATGAGACGCAGCCAGGAATTCGATATGAATGGATTGTCATCGGATAGATTTCAAATTAAACAGTAATATAATATTTAAGTAACAAACAAATTTATGGTTATATTCGTATAAAAACATTGTTCATAATTTAATTCGAAGTTAAAAATTAATCGTAAATTTATTTTTTCTTAATTTTTATCAAATGAGAAAAAAAATTGAGAGAAAAGAAAATTAATAAATATAAAATAATAAATATAATAAATTTTTTTTTTATATAAATATATTCATATTTTTTGGTGATTATTATCATAAATTTAAGGTTTGTTGTCCAACATTTCAACTAAACTAAACTGGTTGTAATTATTTTCTTCATAGTAGGGTGTCCATAAATGAAATTGCTAATACGAAGTGATATGCGAATTGATTAACCGAAATTTATCATTTTCCTTACCTCTTAAATTTTCGTTGTTTATTTCATTTTTCTTATCTCAGAAATATTCCTTATTCTTATCATATCGTTATCACCTGATGGATTTCAAATTAAAGGTTGTTTATAATACGTATTATGGTACTTTTATTTCTAGTTTTTTTCCTTACTTTTCTTAATTTATATTTGCTATATCTCTGTTTCTAAAATAATTGATTTAAAAGCTTCCGAGATATTTATTAAAATCAAAATTAGAATCTGAGAAGTTAATATTTTTAATCTATTTACAGTATATTTGATATATTTTCCTTGCAAGCAATATTCATTGTTCTTAATAAAACCTTATTTTCCAATTAAGAACTGAAAAAGTCGAACCAATGGTACTTCGCCTTAGTGATCGGCGTAAATACCGCGAACTGAAGCATAGATTATAAATAATTCTAATAATTTAATTATTTTTATTATAATAATTTTATTAATTTTATTAATTTTATTATAAAACAAAAAAGTTTTACATTTATCTATTCGGCTATGGCATTATTTGAATAATATTAAAATAATAAAATTGCTCTATGAATTTAATTAAAATTTATAAAATAAGTTTTTTAAAAATAAACGATGTATGAAGTTTTTATCTTTTTTAAGTAAAAATGGGCGATGGAAATGAATATTTCATTAGTTGGAAAAGTGGAAAATTTTATAGCTAATTGATATCAAAATCGATAGGGTTTTAAAATGAATAAATATTGAAGGCCCTTTAATTAACGCATTTTTATTCAAATAAGCTCTATTTTCGCGTTGACAATTTCTGTGTCAATTTGCTTTACTTAATTAATTTTATTTATTAGTCTAAATTGGAAGAAAGCCGCTAATTATATATGTTTAATCGACATTAAATTCATTTAATTGCTGATAAATATTTTTAATAAAATATAGAAATGAATTTTATTTAATATTAATTAATTAATTTACAATTAATTAATTTTATAAATAAAATTAAAAGCAATGATATTATTGGGCAAAATTATGTAGAAATTTGACTTTAAAATTGTCGATTTTATTCTAATATTTTAGTCTTTTAATCAAAATCTAACATCTGATAATATTGACAAATAGTAGTTTTATCATTTTCATATCGTTAATTTAAGCCGAGCCGAGTCATATAATGAAAAATCTTGTAATTGATTAAAAAATTTTTGTCAAGAATATTGATAATATTGATAACATACATTCGTAAATTCGGTTCTTCAATGGCTTATAATAATCAAAAGAAATTTCAGTATTATTAAAAAAAAAATTTCTAAATTAATAAAAATTAATTAGTGAAACTTAGTTCACTAATTCAGTTGCAATGGTAAATCAACATGCATACTGAGAGTTCATCAAGTTGAATTTGAATCTGATTCTTGTCCAGCGGTGCACAAATATATAATACTATACTAATACCTTGAAACAGTATTTGTCTGCGCTCAAGGTAACATTATAAGTTAAACGCGCTTATTCAAAATTATTTCGCATGACTATCTTAGAAATTGCTTATAGCATTGTTCTATGTGCATTATTTGTCCAATTTTATTTGGTAATTGTGCGGAGAAAAAAAAAATCGAGTGGTAACCAGAAATATCGTGGTACTCAACTGCCTCACAATCTTAATCATCATCAATACATTGAATGATTTTGATTTTCATTAATTATTTTTGTTCACTTGATAATTATTTATTTATTAATGTTTTCACTATTATTATTGTGCAGATGTAATGGCAAACAGTTGTGTAGTTTTGTGGTAAATAACAGCTATTTTGGTGATCATTGCCCGAAAACGTCGAAATATTTGGACGCCGAATATGAATGCATTAGTAATTCTGGTAAAATTTTCTTGTTTTTTAATGAATTGTGAAGATGTTTGCTTGGTACATTTATAGGTCTTCGATTGGTATTATTGATGAAATTGTTGTTGTTTGCTTTGAATGGGAAATTTTTTTAAGAAATATTTTTAAGAGAATACAGATTTATTATTTTTCAGCGACATCAACTACTACAACAACTACCGTAACGATAAGCACCATAAATACAACGATTGAATCAAAGCAGACTGCTTCTTCCATGGAAATAAACACCATTATGTTAGTTTAATTCATATCAGTATGATATGATATGTTTTCGATGATAAATTTCAATGATAAACCAAATTTCAATAATACCACATTTATAAGTTATGTACCACAGTATCCAAACTATATTAGCATTTCACTTCTTCATACATAATTTGCTTCATTGATTCCTGAAATGTGGTTTAAAATCCAGAATATACACTATTTAGATAAATTTGTTATATAAATTAATTTAAATTATTAAAATTATTAAATTATTTTATAATAGATTGAAATTGAAATTTTAGGTAATTCTTATTTTTAATTTTTTATTAATATAAATATATCTATTAATTTATTAATTAATTTTTCAACTTTTTAAAAGCCATTATAAAATTTGAAATATCTGTCGCACATTGTCTTCATTATCAGAGAATGCCCAAACTACTTATCAATATTATTTTTGAAATTTCTTTAGAAGTGTTAATGAGGATGACGAAACTAAAATGCTTAAACAAGGATGTCCATCAATTAAAAATCGAGATTTTAATTGGCCGTGGACAGAATCCAATAGTATAGCTCGTATGCCATGTCCGAATGGAGCAAAAGGCCATGCTGAATGGTTATGCGATAAAAATGGCCAGTGGAATAAAAACGGTGTGGATATGTCGAGATGTGAAAGCTTTTGGAGTAAAAAGTCATTTTTAAAATAAATATTCAAAATTTTCATTTTTTCATTTTATCTCGACTGTTCTAGCACAATTGATATATTCTCGAGAATCGCTAACACAAGAGAATTGCTTTTAGCCTTCAAGAAGAAGCTTATCGGACTGATGATCCAATCGAGAAACTTGAAACGCTCCACGAAATTCAGCAAATGACAAGAAAGGAGATTTTATTAGCCGGTGATCTAATTGCTCTATCAAAAGCTATCGTTTATTCGATACCGTCACATATTCAGCCGGAAAATAGTGAAGTATTTGCCGAGGTTAATCCCTCTTCTATCATATTTCATGATTTTTTTCAAATTTTCATTTATTTATTTTATTTTATATGAATAGATTATTGTTGAAATTGTGAATAATATGGGAAGAGAGACTCAATCGCAAGCGTGGTCCGATTTGAATTTTATTCAACGTCGTGAAGTAGCTGATTCGCTTATCGAAAGTATTAACCATGTAGCATCCGCAGTGATGTCGAATATAGCACCTGGAACTACGCGTACTGTTATTAAACCATCAGTTGGTAAAAAAAAAAATTTTCTATTTTTAGAATCACTATCATTATCATTCTATCATTTGTGATTGATTATTTTTTTAAAATCAATTAACATTTAACTAACATTTAAAAATAATGCATTACTCCGATTTTTGATTTATAAGAAATCGTTTATAAGGTTTCATGATTACTGGATTTATTTTCTTATTTTTATTAATTGAGATCAAGCGAGTTCGAGTTTTCTTTTTGAATGGAACAAACCTGCCATTAATGAGATTCGAATGGTGCAGCGGGCCTATTTTTATTTTGTTCGCAAGATATTCTAGCGGTTCTTATCTTAATGGACCTAGCCAGATTTGAAGTGCTAGATATTGCTAGAAGAAGACATAATTAAATTAGTTAAATAAATTCTTTTAAGTCTTAATCGTAAGATCCTGAAGCGATCAACTGGATTAAATTTCGGTTAAAAATAGGCCAAAAGTAATACTCTAAAAATTTTTGATATCGATAAAATTTTATTATTGATAAATTTTTTAGCTTATAAATTTTTTTAAAAAATTTAATCAAAAAAAAAAAATTCCAGAATTGGAAATTTCAAATGTTAAAATTTACGACTATATTATGTTTCCAAGTATGAGCCTTTATAAAAATACTTATGATACTATCGATATACCAAAAGAAGCTCTAAGTCTTCGATTTAGTCCTCAAGGTAGGTTTCATTTTTTTAAAATGACAAGTATAATTTTTGAATCAATCATTTTGCACAAAATATTCAAATTTGTGAGATTATTTTAAAATATTTTAATAGATTATGCCAAAGTGCTTTATGCATCATATACATCAATTGGTGCTTATATGGAACCAGAACCTTATTCGCGCTTTAACGGAGATATAATTAAAAGGCATTTAGCATCAAAAATCTTGTCGGCATCTATCCTAGATTCTGCTAATCGTATTAGATCGATTCACCATCTTCAAAAACCTGTAATTATCACGTTTAACACTATGGTTAGTTGGTAATAAAAATCTTCAAAATATTTTTGTTTTTTGGTTCAACTTTTTGGTTCATTTTTTGGTTTTTGATTTATATTCTGACCATTTTTTTTTTAAACAATATTTTTTATTGCATAAGAACTTCAGTAGAATTATACAAACAAATATTTTTATTTTTAGCATACAAAAAATTTATCATCACCGACTTGTGTCTGGTGGAATAGATTACAACTTTCGTGGTCAACCGATGGTTGTCAAGTTCATCATCATAATAAAACTCATACGATATGTCACTGCAATCATCTAACTCATTATGCAGTACTTATGGATTTATATGATCAAGAGGTTTTTTTTTGAGAGTTCTCACCATTACCCGTTAAACTCGCTTCACTGGCTTATCACGTTGAGCAATTTGCCAGGAAGTCCCTTGGCCATAAAAATAGAGGTGAGTCGCCAGCACCCGGATTTTTGTACAAGTTTACTCCTGCGGAGAATCGAACCTCAGCATTGTCACTCCCAATCTAGCAACAACCTACTGAACTATTCTATGATCAAGAGATTCGCATAATTATAATTATTTTAATGGTGTTATTTTTTTGATTTTAATCATTATCATTTCTATAGAATATTAAATTCGCTGCTTTTCTTTATCAATTTTTTTTTTAATTTTCGATTCTAAATAATTTAAATAATTTTAAAATTTTAGTTAGAATTTGAACATGGAATTGTTCTCACATTTATAACATATGCGGGATGTACATTGTCAATAATTTGCTTAGCACTCTCATTATTGGCTTTTAATTGTTTCGGAAATGGAGATGAACGAATTTTTGTTCATAAAAATCTTAGCTTTTCTCTTCTCGTAGCTGAAATTATATTTTTATTGGGAATTTGGCAAACGGACAATAATGTAAGTATCATGTCTAATTAATATTTTTTAATTAATTAATAATAAAAATTAAAAATTAATAAAAAAATTGATTTTAATAAAAATTAAACTAATGTTAAGAGATTGGAATTTCTTGTAGCATTTTTATTTAATTTTTTAATTATTTTATTTTCATATTTTATAGTTTCATTGTGGTATAATAGCTGCTATGCTACATTTCTTTTTCTTGGCTGCTTTTTGTTGGATGTTCCTGGAAGGTATCGAATTATATTATATGCTTGTTGAAGTGTTTCAATCAAATAATTCAAGAAAATCTTGTTTTTTCCTTTTCGGTTATGGTTAGCTTTTTATCGATAATTTCATTTTTTAACCGATAAATCAGATTCAATTTAACCATTCTGAAATATAATTTTTATTGACCGGTTGAATTTTGATTAATTGTCTGCATTTATTTGAAGAGCGATTAAAGAGGAGACTATTAATTTTAGGTTGTCCAGCTTTAATTGTTGGTATATCCGCATGGATCGATCCAGATAGCTATGGTACTGAGCGCTATTGCTGGCTGCGATCCGACAATTATTTTATTCTCACATTTATTGCGCCAGTTGCAATAATTTTGTTTTGTAATTGTATTTTTATTCTTATGACCTTTTGTATCGTATGTAATCATTCAAATATTGGCTATACTCCATGCAAACAGAGCAATAATAATATAAAAAATATCAGGTAAGTTGAAACTTCAAAATATTGAAAAATAATTTTTTTTGTTACCAATTTTTATAAATTTATATTATTTAAATTTATATATATTTAATATTATTTATATTATTTATGTATTATAAATTTATATTATATATTTATATATATTACATAATATTATATATTTATATTAATTTATATATTTATGTAAATATATATTAATAATATATAAATAATATTTATTATAATATGTATTATATATATTATATATTTATATAATATTATATATTAATTATATTAATTATATAAATTATAAATTTTTATAATTTTCAAGAATTATCTGTTTTTATTATCGTCAATTTCTATTCTGATTGGTACCACTAATTTTTGAGACTCCTTAATCGATGAGCCACTCAGATATAAGCGCATGTGTTGTGCTGCTCTTGGCTTGATGTCACATCGCACATCTGTATATGGCACAACAATAATTTAAAATTGATATCAACGATTTTCAAAATGCATATATTTAGGAATTGGCTGAAAGGTGCGATCGCTTTAATTGCTTTGTTAGGTTTAACATGGACATTTGGTTTATTATGGCTTGATCAACAGTCAATAGCTATGGCCTATTTGTTCACAATTTTAAATTCTCTACAAGGATTATTCATTTTTCTATTTCATGTCGCATTTAACGATCTGGTATATTGCGTTATTCGTTATATTCCCTTAAAAAAATCTTATAATTACCAAAAAAAAAATTTCTTTAGATGAGAAACGATTATCGCAAATGGTCACAGCGATATTCATGGCTACCAAGTTGTGCTAGAGAAGAATTATCGTCAAGAATTAGCTCTCCTCCGTATATAGCATCACGGCAACTTAAAGAAATAAGTTCAGGTTCATCAACAGGATCTGAAATTTTGGTACTATACTTTCTAAATATCCAATTTATATTTAATTTTTCTTGCAATTTCACCAAATTATTAACATTTTTAGTGTTCATTTGTCAATATATTAGCCTAAATTAGAATTAGAATAGATTAATATAAAAGATTATTTTATTTTTCTTTTAAATTGTACTGATTTCATTTCATTTTATAAGTCGTATTCGTTAATCGTATTTAAGCGTTAGATAAACGAATATCATATCTATTAATAAAAAATTAAAAAAAACAAAATTAAAATTTTTTTTGACAAATTTTTTTGGTGTATACCTTCTTTCAACTGAATAGAATAATTCTGAAATAGGTTAAGGTTGAATGAAATTCTGTGGTACTTAGCTTTTATTATATCCAAATGGTAGAGGGAGGAGAATTAGGATGAGCCAGTCATTTTCTCTTTTTTATTTTTTGCACCAGCAGTGTGTATGTGTATCGGCATATGCAGCATTCATTTCATTCCATTCTTTTTTCACATTACATGGATTTTATTTTTAATTTCCAGGCACTGACATTTTCGAGCAAATTATTCAATTCTTTTAAATTTATCTATAGAATATTTAATTCAAAATAGTCAGTGACATTTTTCAAGACATTTTTTTTTTGAAGAATCTGAATCTGAAGAATCTGCTGAAATCGAAAAACTACAACGAATATTCACCATTAATGGCTAGTCAGCGGGCCGGCTTATCAGTTTATCCTAGAGGAGGAGGTTCGTAAATGATGACTTGCGCTAAAATAGATTTAGATTATTACCACTTCCTTTTTCATCTAATTGGTTGATCTATATTCTTTTAACTGATTGCAGTTGATAATAATTTGATAAATTTTGAGAAATTAATCTTTTTTAGATATGAAATGAAACGTTGAAACGATTTAATTGAAAATTCTCTTATATTTGCTCGCGAATAGTTTGCTTATTTTAGTTATGAATTAAGAATAGTTTTAGACTAAAACAATGGCTCATATAATAATAGCAATAAATTTTTATCGAAACCGAAATAAATTTATCCAGAAGTGGCTCATAGCTATCGTAGAAATAAAAATGCATGCAGCCGACGCGCGAGCAAATAGCAGAATGTGATTATTGAGCGTCTAATTTCATATATAGTTCTATATAGTTTTTCAGCGCATGTCATCTTTATGCATGGAATTTTTTAAATTTTTTCTGGATCGGTGTTCATGACTAAGTTTTATAAATCATTTATACTTTTTTCCACATTTTTTTGGAGGTGGGGGAAGGGGATTTGCGAGCAGGAAAAAGACTAAACAGCCAGTTTCTTGTACTATAAAATATTTTGTAAGAAGTGTTTTTTTCGCATTTTTAGATTTTATCTAACACATTTATTAATTATTATTCGCATAAAAGCTTTTTAATTATATTATTTAATCAATTAATTAACAATTTTCTTCATTTTCAATTTTAGTCCATTTTGAAACTTATTTTTTATTAAAATTAAAATTTAAAACTATTTTATTTTTGGTTATATTTTAGGATTTTTTAGTATTTTCTTCTTATTTCAGCTAATTCTGATTTTAATCTCTTTTTTTTTGTTATTTTCTTCATTATTGCATGAGAAAAAGATAATTAATTTTTAATTTTTATATACATATAAATATTTATAGTATCCATCGTCGACAGAAAAATATCCTCAAAGAATGGCAGGCATTATTGAGCAACGATATAATCCTGTATCAACTCTTCTTACTCGACAAAGGTTTCCTATATATGGTAAATTTACCAGTGTTATTTCTTAATTTAAATAAAATATTTTAAATATTTAGCGTTTAAAATACTTTTGAGAATGAAAATAATTTGTAAATCTTTTAATAATATCATATTGTTATTGGTTAGAATATCCTCGTAGGCTATAAGATTTTTCAAATTGCTCGCGATCCGATGTTTTATATCTAATATTATTAAGTTATATACTATGGCATTTACACTTTATATTCCTTTTTATACTATAGCCTAAGCCCATATATAGCTGGGCCATGTGTATATTCAAAATCTTTTCTAGCTGTATCAATCCAGGTCTTAATTTAACCTTTTCGCTTCTGGCATATGACTTCCAGCAGAGGATATAGCAAGTAGCGTGAATTCTTGCCTGAAATCAGTGTTCAGCAATTGATACTCTGATAGTCCAGTTACCATATTTCCTAATAGCACATCCTAGCATGGAGGTGAATGATTTGCGAAGGCATTTTAGTTGGGATCAGTGTCTTTTGAGAAATGTCAGTGATATTTCTATCTTTAAGTTGCTTCATAATTCAGCTTGAAATGCTTTTACTATTCACGAATCTTTTAGTTTGGAAATTGAAAAATCTTAGAGATTTTACTTTGAATCTGGTTTACTTTTTACTTTTAAACTGGTCTCGAACCATAACTGATCTGTTCATAAATATTATCAGCGCTACGTTATGAACGACTATTTGGTATGGAACTCACTCACTGTCTAGACTATAATCTCGTCGGAATATTGGTTGTCCGGAGAGTTCCTTCTTTTTTCAAACCATTATTGGTCAGGCTGGCTCCACTGGCTATAAGAGTAAGGCGTCTCCAAGCAACGTGGTCATCGTCAAAGGTAGATGGCTTCTTAATATCCTCCACTCTCATTGGCCATATAGCAAGATCGAACGAATCACGACTATATAGATGCGGACTTTCGTTTTAATGGAAATTTCACGACCGGTCCATAAAGGTTTCGTTAACCGGTAGAAAAGTTTGCGGAGAATTTGTTCCATGTTACTATATATCTTTTTTAATATAACTGGAAGTATGTAATGGCAATGAAAAGTCCTTCGTTAGCCGGTTTCCATTAAAAACTGATCGAGCTTTTTTAGACATGACAATTGCTTGGCGATTGTTACCCTATTTCGTTCCAAATTATCCGAAGCACCATAGTGATGCAGCCAGTACCTCTGCTCCGAGCCGATGTCTATTTTTTTAAGCCCTTTTACATGAGGAAAACGAATTTCTTACAAGTAGGAAATGTCCACATGATGTTTGGACAAAGTATGGACGGTCATCATTTGATTCAGTGAATACTCCGACGGACCATGCTTCTGCTGATCAGGACTTTGCCGCATTTGTAAAGAGCCAACCGTTGTTCACCTCCATTGGCAAGTATCGAACGTTTCCATTGGCTTGAGAATTCATTCCAAAACCTTTGCTAAATCCAATTTGCAAATTTATCGCATGTACCACCAGGCTGGGAATACCATGCACATTGAAGCGCACTGACGTCATATCAATATAATCAGACTCCATCACCATAAAATCAATTTTGGATATAAAAACAGGTGGGCAGCCATCCGAATTTCAGTTTATTTCAGAATTTCAGTTTATGACAGGTTTATTCTCGTCAAAAGAAAAATTAAATAGAAAAAGACGAGTGTTGTGCTGCTGCTATTATTTTTTGTTTATTGTTATTATTTATTATTATTTACAGTTGTTATTTGCTATTATCACTTATCGTTATTATTATTTATTGTTATTCATTTATCATTATCATTTATTACTGTTTATTATTATTAATCGTTACCCTTTATTTTTATCGTTTATTACCATTTATTATCATTATTTGTCATTACCATTTTTTATTATTAATTATTATTTTTATTACTATTTATTATTATTTTTCACTATCATTATTATTAACAATGACATTAATAAAAAAGAAAATAAATATATAAATTTTACCAAATAGCAAAATTTTATAGAAAATTTTGAAAATAATTTAGAAATAAAAATAAAATAGTTTCACTGAACCGACTTTTCTCTTATTGATAAAAATTTGTATAAAAATGAAAGATTTTAATGACAAAAAAGATTCTTATAATAAAAGTACATTTTAAACAAAAGTCTTATTTTTTTCAAATTATTAGAATTAGATAAATGATTCTGTAAGATTTGATTTATTAAAAGTATTATTACAAAAAAGATGAAAAAAATTCAGGCGTCTATGATTACGCAACAATTGTTTACGGTGAGCAATATCCAAGGCCGAATTCATCGACGCTGTTTGAACATAACAAATCTTCTATATTTGCTCCTACAGAGGCTCTCTATCGTCCTCCACCAAATTTTCCTCCTCCTCCTCCTCCACCAGCACCATCAGTCACTGATAATAATTTTCTTAATCGTCCACATTCATCAACAATGACAAAATTATCTAATGATTCAGCGTTCAGTGATGGTTCGTCTAATATCAATAATAATAATAATACTGATATGAATAATGTTGGCCCTTCAGGAATGCTGTTAAGAATGGATTTGTCGAAAAATCCACCCGTATTTGTTCAAGGTATTATTGAAAATTAACGTTATCTGTATCATTACTGTAAGCTGTTGAATAGTCTTGAATAATCGTCGTGTTGATATTATTTATTGCTAGAAATGATTAATGATGAAAAATGGTGGTTGGTGCCTTAAAGAAAATCACCAAAAAAAAATCACCAAAAATCAGATTTAAATAGTAATTTACTTATTACTTATCCATTTTGGTATTTATCATTTGTTTTTCCGATTCATCGATACTGAAATTCATTAGCAAATATTTTGGATTTGGATTAAACGAGAATTTTTGTTTCGATTCTTGAAATCGAACCGATTTTCTCGAATTGATTTTATTGAATCTCGCTGAATTGTATTTTTTTGATAATTTATTTTAATCGTTTTAATTTATTTTTATTTCAACAAGCATACTGGTATTTAACTTTACAATTTTCGCTTTTCTAAATAGTACTTATATATATTTATATTTTAAATTTATATATAAATATATAGTTGATTATTTATTTGCAATTTTATTTCATGCTTCCGTCATTTTCATTTTACCGGTTCATTAATTTTTATATATGATTTTTAATATATTTTTTTGTGAAAAATCGCAATCAATGATATATTTCGATTCTTTCCGATAAAAAATTTGAAAATTTGAAAAAAATCATGCATGAAGAAAGTTTAAAATAAAAATCAATTATTCAACGTTAAATAAAATAAATATAATAGCCAAAGTAGAAAATTTTAATATTTCTTTCTAATTTCTAGTCTATTTTGAATTTGTTTTTTTTTTTGTTTGATATTATTGGATAATATTTGTTTTGTCTTTTTGGATTTGCAATTTATGAAAGTTGTCTTCCATAAATTGAAGAGAACTAAATTTTTATGAATCGTTGAGATTTTACTAATCCTTTTTTTTGATAAAAAATTTGCTCATTTATTCATTTGTTTATAATTTATCGAAATGAATAAAATAAAAATTATTTTATTTAGTTATATTAATTACTTTAGTATAAAAAGAAAAAAATTCTCTTTCGAATAGTAATTTTTGAAATATTTGAAAAGCTATTAAATTAAAATTTGAAATCATTTAAAAAACCATTAAACGAAAATGATTTAGAAAGAGATTTAATTTTGGTACCAACACTGATACACTGATTTGCTTTATAATTTCTTATTCATATTGATATTCTTTTTAAAAATATTTATACAACAAGGAACGACGATTGTTTCCATGTGGCCGATACAATTGATAGCTGAAGTGGAAGGAAAATTTGGCTATAAATAACGATCGGGGATAAGAAAAAAATAAAGAAATAAAAATGCCTAGCAATATCGAAATAAAAATAGGGATTAAAATTAAAATTTTAGTTTTAGAACGAAATAAATATAACAGTGCACTAAGAAGAAAAGAAATAGCATAAAAAAATTCAACATTGAACTAAATAATTTAAATAATTTTAGATAATTATAATAAATGAATTTTATAAACATTCTCTTTGATATTGGTTTACAAGTAAATATCATTTAGCAGAGAGTTTAAAAAATTGCTTATGGCAGGCAAACCGAATTTTATTTTGAATGAAATGAAAATTTTCTAAGCTAAAATGATGATTTTCTTATAGGAAATTGATGTTAAAAATATAATTTTTTTTTCTTTGATATAAAATATAAATCTTATTTGAAAAAAAAGAAGAAAAAGAAAATCTCCATCAGTTATTATGAATATTAAATTTATTTCATTGCTAACCACTTCGCAATAAAATTACTCACTTTAAATAAATTTCTTAGGGCACTTAAGGTTGTCAAAAACATAATTTTAATTTATTTTAACATGAAATAGCTGATTGATGCTTAACGTAAGAACGAAAAAAATGAGTTCGCTTATAGGAAAATAATTCTGCAAGAGCTCAAATTTGAAAAAAGATCACGCCTAATCATTATTTCAAAATTTATTAAATAATAAACATTTTTACCATTTTAACTTCTAAGTTTCATTTCTAACAGCATAACGCAATTTCTTTTTTCATTATTTCTATAGTTCATTAAAAAATTTTTCTTCGAGTGATAGTGAAGTGATAGTATTCAAATATTATCAACAAAAAATTCATCTTTTAATTTTCAAAAAAGACATTGAAAAATGCATATTTTTTTTTTTATTTCATTGATAACAATTTAGCAAATGGCTTTTTTTCGAATTTTTATTTTAGTATAAAATGATTTTTATAATAGAAAAATTTAAAATAATCTTATCAGATCTAAATTTTACTATTCGATATTTAATGTATAATTCAAAAAGTAATTTATAAATTATAGTTTTGCTTTGGAAAATTAGAATAAAATTAACTGTCGACAATGAATACGAATGCGTTTCGTATAAGAGGAAAAGAAATGGTCGATTATATTGCTGATTACATGGAAAATATTCACAAGAGACGAGTGGTACCAGCAATTGAACCTGGTTATCTCAAAGAATTGCTACCAAAATCTCCACCAGATTCACCTGAAAAATATGAAGCAATTATGGAGGATTTCGAGAAATTTATAATGCCCGGTGTAAGAAAAATTTAATTTGCTAGATTTTTGAATATGAAATATTTTTTATTTTGAAATATTTATTATTTTGAAATATTTTTTTGATAGATCACCAGTTTACAATATAATCGTTGATTATGAAGAAAGCAAATGAAAGAAGGAAAGAAAGGAACGGAAATTAGAAATTGGGAGTTTACTTAATAGTTTTTGAATTTTTGAGTTTTTGAAACTTTTAAAATAAAATGTGTACTATACAAAACAGTGGTAGAATATTGGTAATGGTAGAATTTTAGTGGCTTCCCAGTTCTTTTTAAAGGATCGTTTAAAACTTTATAAAATATTATTTATTTTTGCCATTATTTTTTTTGCCCCAATTTTTAGTTTAGTTTAAATCTTATAAAATTATGTGAATTTTATTAAGAAAGACTTCATTTAAGAAGGTGAATTTTGTTTATTGAATAAATAAATATTTGATAACGAATTTCTCAAATCTAATTTCTACTGTAAATATTGATAAATATAATCATTAAAACTCTGAGGCAAAAAACTCTAAAGAATTACAGCAAAGAATTTGAAAACCATTGGTATAAAATAAAATCGTCTGAATCGACAGTTTTTTCTCGTTATTTTCATATTTTTACTCGAATTTCTCGAATCTAATTTCTAATGTAAATGTCAATCAACGTAACCCCTGTAAGCAAAAACTTTGAGAAATCACAGCAAAGAATTTAAAAACCATTGGTATAAAAAAGAAAATTGTCTGAATCTTCAAGTTCTTCTCCTTATTTTAATATTTTTATTCGAATTTCTCAAATCTATATGTCAATCAATATAAGAAAAAACTCTTTGAGGGATCATAGAAAAGAATTTGAGAGCCACTGATAAGAAATAAAATTGCTCGGTTCGACGAGTTTTTTTTTATTATTTTAATACTTAATATTTTATATTTTTCCTCAGTAATTTTATATCAGTATAGGTTTTTAAATTTTTTCATTAATTTTCTATTTTTTAAGAGTTATTATGCAAAATTTAGCTTAAATAAAAAAAAAGAAAAGAAAAAAGCTGTAGATAAGAGAATTGGTCTAAATTTGGATAGCACAGATTTGCTAGTGTAGTAACCACATGATTAATGATTATTTATTATTTCTAATTATTTTACATTGGGATTAATGTACAATGAAAATAATAACATTGAAACCACATGATTAATGTATTATTTATTGATGGCTTTTTATTATTTTTAATTTTTAGTTTTTAATATATTTATTTTTAATTGTTTTTAAGTAGGATTAATGTAATAATATTGAAATACAAAATAACAATATTGAAAAAAATATTTTTTCCAGATAACCCACTGGCAACATCCTCGATTTCATGCTTATTTCCCAGCCGGCAATGCATTTCCATCAATTCTAGCTGACATGCTTTCCGATGCGATCGGTGGAATGGGTTTCTCATGGGCATCTTCTTTATCTATTATTTAAAATCTTTTTAAAAAAATTCTATCTATTCGAAAATTTAAATATTAAATAATTCAATTTATATTTATATTTGTGTATCAGGAATTCAGGAATTCTTAAAATAAATTGATCATTTCAACAAAAAATTTTATAAGAAATAAGAAATTTAATAAATCGCTTCATAGGCTTCTTGTCCAGCAATAACTGAGCTTGAAATGGTGATGTTGGAGTGGTTTGGAAAAATGATAGGACTGCCATCGGATTTTCTTCCCTTTACTGAGGGTGGCAATGGAGGAGGCGTAATTCAGGTTAGATTAATTCTTACAGCAATTTTTAATGATCGATCAGCGTTTTGTGAAATCAGTGATTTTTTTTTTTTTTTACAATTTGTTGTTGAACAACAAACGATAGATTTCAATAATTTGACGATTTTACTTCTTAATTTATGAATTACTTTTAGGGATCAGCAAGTGATTGTAATTTTGTTTCACTATTAGCTGCACGATTCGAAATACTTAAAGAACTTCGTCAACGATTTCCTTTCGTTGAAGAAGGATTACTTTTATCAAAACTTGTTGCATACTGTTCGAAAGAAGTTCGCGTTTTTTTTTTCTGAAACAGAGATTTGATTTTGTTGATAAGAAATTTTGAAGAAATAGATAAATTCCTAAATAAGATAACGCATTTAAAAATGCAAATAACCATAGGCCTTTCGAATTCATTTGAAATTTAAAGGCTCATTCGTCGGTTGAGAAAGCATGCATGATTAGTATGGTGAAACTTAGAATTTTGGAAACTGATTCGAAATTTCGCCTGCGAGGCGAAACTCTTAGAATGGCAATACAGGTTTCATTTTTTTTTCCTCAAATTTCATATATTTATAAAGTTTTAGGAAAGAATAGATTAAGTATTGTTGCAGAAATTCGTTCTTCACGATATCAGTGATTCTAAAATATTTTTTCAAATTATATTATAAAATTATATTTGCCTAGGATAGTGTTCATTTTCGTGATTTGCTAATGAATGAATCGAGCCAATTAATTTCTCTTTTGATGGCTTTTCCAGTAGGATGAAACCAACTAAAATATATTATAATCATTCATTTATTTAAATTAATAATTTAAAAAAAAGCGAATATTTTAATTCAGGAAGATAGAGAACTTGGCATGATACCGTTCTTTGTATCGACCACACTTGGAACGACATCATGCTGTTCATTTGACGTACTATCAGAAATTGGACCATTATGCCGTGACAATGATTTATGGCTTCATGTTGATGGAGCCTACGCTGGAAGTGCTATGATTTGTCCAGAATTTCGCTATTTAATGGATGGTATAGAATATGCGATGAGTTTTAATACGAATCCCAATAAATGGATGCTCGTTAATTTCGATTGTTCTACTATGTGGTTAGCGATAATTATATTTCAGTGATCATTTTTTTCAGCCAATTCTGAGATACGAAACTATATAATAAATTCATCGATTTTACTATTGATAAAAGTGAAAATACGTGAAAACCATAATTATATGCAACTGATAAGATAATGATAAGATACCTATCAGTGATTCAATTTCCACATGAAATGACGATGAGATCATATCTTAACAGCTAAATAAATAGTGATTACTATTTGAAGAAAAAGAAAAGAATATATGGTCATATTTGATTCAGTTTCTTAAGAACTTTACAGAAGAGAAGAAAATCTATGGAGTTATTAAATATTCGAGAGATGAATTTCTTATATTTTAGGGTAAAGGACAGATTCAAATTAACGCAAGCACTTGTAGTGGATCCATTATATTTACAACACGGTTGGATGAGTAAGTTTCCTAAAATTTTCTCGTTTTTTCTTCAATAGTCACTAAAATATTTGATTTAACTGGAATGAATTAATCTTAAAAAACAACCTTAAAAAATAAGCTTCACATAGTAATAATAGCGATTCAATATAACAATAAATATAACAATCAATTTAAATATAGCAACAATTAAAAAAGAAATCTTATAATTCGAAAGGTCTCATGCAAGCGCGTATTCGAAGAAATATTTGTGGCCTTCAAGAATTTATCCGAGTTCCTAGAATAATATATGTTTAGAAAATACATGCAGAAATACGTAGAAAATAGTCAATGAATTCTATGACAATCATTGAATTAAGAAGTGATAAAATGAGAAAATTTTTTTTTATCAGACAAAGCAATTGATTATCGACATTGGGGTATACCGTTGAGTCGAAGATTTCGATCACTAAAATTATGGTTCGTTATTCGAATGTACGGTGTTAATGGGCTACAAAATTATATTCGCAATGTGAATTTTAATTTTAATTTATATTTGAAAAAAAATTAGGCGTTTTTTTATATTTAACCTTTTCATAAAGATATAAACAGACTTTTCTCGTCAAATGGGAAGTTAATTTAAACTGAGTAGATCGAGTAGAATACTATCAATTCATTTGGTAAAGTAAGATAAAAAGAAGTTGTTAAAGAATCAATTTTGTTTTTCATGGTACCAACTACTTTCTATAAATTGAGCGACTTGCTATAAAAATTCCAGTTTTTTTCTTAAAAATTTTCATTTTTCTTAATTCGCACTAAGCGAAAAATTTAGAGGCCATTTTTATAACTTTAATTGCTATTAAAAATTAAAAAATATAGTTAACAAAATATATTTAACCACTTACTTAATTAAGTAATTAATTATAGCATGTGAGATTGGCTAAAAAATTCGAACAATTGATACGAGCTGATAATATATTTGAAATAGTTGGCGACGTGATTATGGGACTTGTTTGCTTCCGTTTAAGGGCTTCGGATGAGATTAACAAGGCACTTCTCACCGAGTAATACAAATTAATCATTCATTTTTCTGGTCCATACAGTATATTATTCTTATTTCTTATTCAGAGAGAAAATAATTTAACGATTATGTTTTAGGTTGAACTCGTCAGGACGCATTCATATGGTACCAGCAAGTCTTAATGATCGTTTTGTTATTCGCTTTTGTGTTTGTGCTGAAAATGCTGTAGAAAGAGATATAAATATTGCTTATGATATTATTTCTCAAACCGCTCGACAAATCATTCGTTCGTCTAATTTTCTGTTTTGCTTCATCTTCAAGAGAATAAATAATAATTACCGAGGAAATACTTTGCACGTTATTCCTTTAAACCAAAATTACACCAATGAACCAAACTATTTATTGAAGTTAAAAAAATTATAGAAAATAGAAATATGAAGAAAGATTCAAGCAATTATTTGAGCCTATAAAAGAGAGTTATTTCGGAATTTCTCTTGAATAATTCTTTTCAGGTAATTCTATAAATGAACCATTGGTTGAAGAAACTGAACTTGAAACGATAGACGAAAGTGCAGCTAAGTTAGATTCATCGTTATACAGGGTGATTATTATAAGTTTTCAGTAATTTTTCGCAAAAATATTAATTCTTTAAATATTAAAAAAATAAATATAAAATATATTTAATATAAAATATATTAAAATAAAAAAATCTTTCTCTACTTTTAAGACTTCACTATTTCTGGTGATTATTAGGCGATCCATTCGATAAGCTCATTTGGGTGAAGGCAAGGTCCTCATTAAATCCTCAAAATTATTTGTGTTTTAAAAATAATAAACTGAAATGGAGAAATTTCGAAATTTAAAATTTAAAACCTACGATAAAAATTTTGCTAAATTTTATATCACCTGTTGATAATGTTTTCAGCTATCATCGAATAATCTTGTTGGTGATAACATATGCGACCTATCGAAAGATGATTTATTGAAGAAGAAAAGTTCGCAGACCCTCGAGCAAAAACGCTCGTTTTTTGTCCGTATGGTTTCAGATCCAAAATGCTATAATCCTAAAATAATCCGCCATCTCTCAAGGCAAAATTATCGAAAAATGTGTGAAGAAGTGGCGAGAGATTGTAGTTTACGGTCATTTTGAAATTGGCGTCGTCGTGTGTGATTGTTGCTGTTTTTGTCATTGTCGTTTAATTTTTACTTACAATAACTCTAAGCTTATTTCTAAATAGATTTGCTAAAAAACAAACAAACAAATAAACAAATCCATCTTTTGACGATCCATATTAGTTTTTAATATAAATATTTTTTTATATTTTATTTACAAAATCTAAAGTTTATTCGGATCTAAAATTTATCTATTTTCTTCTTAATAGAGCAAAAATATTTTTATAAATATTTTTATAAGTTTTTTTTTCTCATAGCGATTTGCATGAATTGCATGAATTTTGCATGTTGACAACTCGCAGTCATAAATAATAATAATTTGCCATTTTTGATTTTATCAGTTGCCAATTAGAAAAATAAACAAAATAGAACGTCGTCTGTAATGAAATTAGATGAATGAATGTAATACTTCTCAACAATTGTTTTAAAAAAATTTTATTTTATTTTTTCAGTGAAGCAATTGAAGAATCTCGAGGAAATCGACCGAAACTACTTAAATTCAATGAAATTTGTAAGTTTAAATTTTCTTAATGAATAATTAATTAATTAATTTTAATTAAGATTAAAATTTATTTTGAATAAAATGATTCAAATTTTTACTAAATTTTCAATTTTCAATTGTATCTCGTTAAATGAAACAAGCTCAAGGAATGATCAATGAAATGGTAAGGGACAGCAGTGGCGTACCAGTTAAGAATATTAAGAATCGCCTCATAAGGTGGAAGAGGCCAAATTTAGCCATGAAGCGCCATTTGTTGCCCTTGATATAGCTGATATGTTCGTCGAATCATACGCTTGCCAACAAATTGTCAACAAAAGAATAATCTCCTTTATCCATAAGCTTAAGGCCAATAAGATTCCGAGAGAAGGCGTTCTTAGGGTTGAGATCTTCAAATGTTGTCCATCGTCCTTTATAACGCACCTTCAACAAATATATTCTCTAATGTGGAAAAAAGAAATATCAATTCTGCTCTCAATTCTCAAGAAAGATAATAGGACATACTGTGATAATTATAGAGGAATCAGCCTACTAGACGCCTAGAAGCCTCAGCGAAAACTTTTGCTTTCCTTTTACTCAGACTCATGAAAATACGAGACAGCAGGATGCGTTCTAATCAAGCTGGTTTCAAACCAGAGTGCGGTTGTGCTGACCAGATATTCACGTTAAGAAGGGTTTTGGAATATCACTTCAGATATCAGCAATCCACCGTCACGTGTTCCATCGACTTTGCGGCTGCTTTTGATTCAATTGATAGAAAGGCGCTTTGGCGGCTGATGGAATGCGACGGTGTTCCGGAGAAGACTATTCGATTCATAAAGGCATTTTATGAGCGCACGTCGGCGTGGTCTGTGTATATGGGAAATTGACAGACTCCTTCGAAATAAGAACTGGCGTCCATCAAGGTAGTATTCTTTCCCATGCAGTATTCAACTATGCGATTGACTAGATGATGGCTACCGTTTGTCTTCAATCAAGAGGCGTCCAAATCAGTGCATCAGAGTATCGTACCACAGATCATGAATAAGCGGATGATAGTCCTTTTTGATGACAGTTATGATGAAATGCAAATAATGCTAAGAAGAAGATGAAGAGATAAGCTTTATGATAATATAAGATAAGCATTCAAAAGGTCTCACTTAAGAATCCTTACCGGAAAGGTTGGCAGGATTGGCTGCGGTCCGAACTGCTATAACATAATAACGTAAGCAAGAATCGGACAAAAAGTTAATGTAAATAAAACGAAAGCCTTTTCGTCTTAGAAGAGCTGAGTGCAAAGAACTGATAAAATGCCATTTTTTAAAAATTCATTGCTGCTTGAGGAAGACTTGACGTTAAATACATTAGGTTCACTCTAATATCGAATGGAAAGCAAAAGACGATCTTACAACCCGGATTACAGCAGTTAGAAATGCATTCTTCCAGTCGACCAAACCTTTATGGAGCCGTCGTGAAATCGCCATAAAAATGAAAGTCCGCATATAGCCACGACTAGTATGGCTGCGAGAAATGCCCAATGAGAGTGGAGAATATTAAGAAGCTGTCTGCCTTTGACCAATCTTGTCTAAGGTATATTTTACGTCAAGCAATCCGTCAAGCGGATAAAACATCATATGATCGCACCCACCTTCGTTCAAATACCATCTGTATTAATAATGTTATCACAGAGCATCGCCTTTAGGGCACGTTCTTCGTCGTCCACCACAGGAATTGATGCATGTTTCGTTATTTGCACTGTGTGATGGATGGCATCAAAAGCGAGGTGGGTCAATTAAGACCTGGACTGATACGACCAGGAAAGATTTTGAACGTTGAGGTGGACCAGCAATATATGGATTTAGACGATAGAAAAAGGAATGGCTTCTATTACTATCGATGGTGTCAGAGCACGTTGCTTGGAGACGCCCTATTCTTGTAGCCAGTGGAGTCAGCCTGACCAGTAATGGTACGAGCTGTTAAAAAAAGAAGAAGAAATGAAACCAGGGAATTTTCAATCTCTCAAAAAGCGAATTAATAAAATTTCATTAAAATTAATTTAAGCAACAAATGAAGAACAACGAAGGGAAGATACAACAACTTTAGAATGTGAAACGAAGCAAATTTAATGATGCAGCAATTTCAAAAGCATTAAATAAAATTACGGAAATATTATTATTAGCAATAAGCAAGCAGCATTATTTTAACGATTATATACAACAAATTTCCGGAATTGTTGAATCCGGAAATTTATTATTATATTATTATATTCATTATGATTTTTTCTCTTCGTCACTCTAAGATTTTTTTTTTATTTTTTAATTCTTCGCCTCTGAAACCGATTATTATCGAAAAAAAATAGAAAATTTAAATTTTATTTAATTTTTTTTTTCCAAGTTATTTTATGAAACAATTTTATTTGTTATTGTACTGAATTTCATTCATTTTAATGCTATTTTTAAATTCGATTATGCACTTAATAATCGTATATTTTTTAAATTTCTCTTTATTTATTAAAAATGGAACGAAAAATTTTTGCCTCGGGGGTTAATTTGTAGGGCTAAGGAGGGAATAAAATCCCCTCATCCTCCCTCTATCACATCCCCTCTTAAATGAAATTATGGAGCCTCTGCTCTTAAATGTAGTTTTTGATTGAAGCGAAAAAAAAATGAAACCATTTTTAAGTAATCAAAATAAAGTTAATAAAATTTATTTTCTTATTTAATTTATAAATTTATAATTTGAAATTATTCCAAAATAAATTTTTTGCAACATTTTAGCGGTTTGGAATAAAACTTTTCCTTTAATTTCCATTGCATTTTATTTTCTTATTTTTTGTATCTCTTTAATCCAATTAGAGTAGCTAAATCAGATCTTAAATAATGCATAAATATAAATCCAGAAATCATAAAAAATTGAATAAAATAACTTTAATGATTTATTAATTTCATTTGACCAATAGATTCAACAACTGATAAACGATAATTGATAAACGAATATTTAGAAATATTTAGAAACAAATCCAGAAACAAAACTTTTTGCTGGTATGCAAAACTTATTAAAGCTGGAAAAGCTGGTATAAATGAAAAACACATTCTATTTCATTCTAATTACGAATGCTACCTTTGAATAAAGCATTTAAATAATTTTTACTTTTATGGACAAAATGAAATATATTAATAATAATTAGAAACTTTTATCAAAATGCTTGCAAGTTTACAATTTTCAATATTTTCAACCAGACAAAATGGTTTAACGACCAGAAAAATGTTGATTTAATCTTTTTTTTTTTAGTACAAATAGTACAAGAAAAGTGCGAAAAATAAAAAAAAACGAAATTCAACGAAAACCGATTAAAACAATCTGGTTTTTAAAGAAAATATTTGTTTATTTGAAACCATAAAAATTATTCCTCGTCTTTAACACGCTTTCTGCTGCGACCTACTTCTGAAAAAAATATATGGAATAAAATAAAATGGAACTATTATAATTAGACTAATTCCAAATTTTTAAATTCTAAATTCTAAATTTTTTCTATAAAAAAAAATTCAAATCGAAATTAAAAATTTTCTAGAACAAAAAAAAAACATTTTCAGAGAAGATATCACTCAGCTAACTCGAAAACCCGCTATATAAGTGCTGAATTAATCTATCTATCCACACAAAAACCTCTAACAGTAAAAATAGAATCATGGCATATTCTCCGGAAAGACCCATCTAATTCCGTTACATCACTTTTCTAAAAATCATCAGCATTCCCCTAAATTCCTCAATTTGTCGATTTAAACTTAATACTATCCAAAAATTCTCGGTATAATAAAAATAAAAATAGTAATAAATAGTGTAGTAATAGTATATAATAGAAATAATAATAAATAATAATAGTTATAATTATAATTATAATAATAGAAATAATAATAAATAATATAGTAATAAATAGTTCTTTTTTTACTGCAGTTTTATTATCATTACAAAATACCTTCAACGCGGAATTTGAGATCGAATTCTTGGTCTGCTCCCAAATAGGAATCACATATGAAGTATAGTTTATAATGCATTCTTCCCACGGTTTGCGCTGTGAAATCTAATGACATCTTTGCTTTTTGATGCACAGTTAATCTATAATATAATTTTTAATCAAAGAGCTAAAAGATCAGGAAAACTAAAAAAAATCCCAGAACTAACCAAGAGAAAATTGTAGAAAGCACCAACAAAAACTATTTTTCAGCAGAAAATTTAAAATTTAAAATTTAACCTTTTTATCGAAAACAGCGCATTATTTGCATGATCTCCGATTACCAACCACCACCCTTCTTCCTTTCGCTTCTGTGGAAATAGTGGAGCAACTACTGGAGGAGCCATACCATTTAAATCATTTTCGCGTTCCATTTCCACGCTGACGTTAACTGTGTCTCCACTAAAATTATGAATCAGTGAAGTGAAAGATCACAGATTTCGTTAGCAAAGATAATGTAATTAATAATAATTCATGCTAAATTTATTAGCACTAATCAATTTCTCAACTTCGAAAATGAATTTTCATTAATAATGAAAAACTTAACAAGGAACTTACAAAAGAATTGGCCCATCAGTTTCAATTTTATATTCAAGTTCAATGCTAGGATAGTTATTGCAAAATTTGGCGACATCAACCATTTGGGCAGGAGTCATCTGCAAGAGATCTTGGCGGACATCGTCTTCAAGATCGAGTAAATCAAAAACAGAGGCAACTTTCTGAAAATATATCGTATATTTCGAAAATATTTAAATTCTTTGAAATAATGATATTTTTTTCTTCTAAAATAGGATCAAAAATGTTTCTATGCATTAAATTACAACAAAAAAACGTGAAACCTTTTCTTTGCAACGTTCCAAAAGAGCCGACGTACAGTGAGGAAGCTGTTTCATATAAGATTCACTAGTAAACATCGCCTGAGTAAGCATTTGTGATAATTCCATAGCGTGAATTGCCGGCATTAACCAACCATTACTAAAATTTTTATCTTGAGCATTCAATAAAGCACTGCTGATGATTTTTGCAAATTTAATAATGATTAATATTTATTAAGATCGGTTACTCGCTTACTTACTCGCTTTAGAAACTAATTTGAATAGTACAGTTAAATAATAATTAATAATAATAATAATAATTAATAATAATAATTAATAATAATAATAATTAATAATAATAATAATAATTAATAATAATAATAATAATTAATAATAATAATAATAATAATAATAATAATAATAATTAATAATAATAATAATAATAATAATAATTAATAATAATAATTAATAATAATAATAATTAATAATAATAATAATTAATAATAATAATTAATAATAATAATAATAATAATAATAATAATAGTACAGTTAAATAATAATAATAGTACAGTTAAATAATAATAAGAAAAATATTTCTGACCATTGTTTAACAAACAAATAATGGTTTTAACTTGGTTTTAGTAGATTTATCGAAAGGTCACCATATTTTTAAAATATTTCAAGAAATTTTTTTTGTATCGTTTCAAAAATAAATGGAATTACATGACATTATTCAACATATCTCTATCTACCACAATAGGTTGTTTTTTCGACTTTTCATCTTTATTATGCTATTTATGGTTTTATTATGCCCTATTGATTTATTATGCTATTGATTCATATTATTGCTAATTCAAACGCATGATTATTACATTGTCCTTCTTTGAGATCAATATAAATAATAGAATTAACTATTAATAAAACCTATAAAATTAAATATTTTTACCTGCTCAATACATCAACACAGGCTTGAACTAATCGAATTGCTTTCAATACTACGATTTCAGTGTCTTTGTTGAGTTCCGCCGATAGTTGTATTCGCGACAAATGAGCATTTAACAACAAATTCACCTAAACATCTCGAATAATTATTGACGGAAAAGAAATAATGGGGAAAATATTGTGATGTAAATAGAACAATTAAGAGTACTTTGACGTGAGGGTCTGTGAATTTTTGATGTTTTTGAGTAGTCGAAAGTCGATCAGCAAGTTGTTTTAGGATAATATCTTCTTTATAACGTATAGGCATGTTAGCAAATTCGCTTGCATTACTGATTATTTCAATAAGCGTTCGCAATTTTGTTTTGGCTGTTAAAGACATACTGAATACTTCTGAAAAAGAAATGGTTCAACCTGTTAAATTGTCAGATTTGTAACGCAATAAAAGAAACCAATAAAAAAAAAATACTTCTGAATCTAAAAAATGGAGAAATCTCCATTACGAACTAACCGATAGTTGTATAGCTGATGTAATAATAAGCAGCGATCATGCCCAAATTCAATGGATGGGTATCCATGTCGTTCCGAATAGTAATACATTTCGAATTCTCCAAATCTTTTAGTGTATTTTCAACGAGTTCAGATAAACTATCTGACAGATGACGATGTGTAACACCTTGTAAATTATAATAATTAGGATTCTGAGTCATTCTGCGATAAAGTAAGGTCCATGTTAGATACTGAAAACAAAACTTATATTCAAAAACAATATTTCTCGTGAAAATCCAAAAAAATTACCTTCAAAAAATATTTATGTAATGATATTTCTTTTTACATAGTGCAATTTATAAATAAAACATGCCAAATTGAATTTCTCATTTTTAAAATGTGAAAAATCAAGAAACTACAAACGTCGATAGCATCTTGCTTATTCTCAATAGTTTTCGTGACGATTTCAGCATTGAAATGATCATGCAAACAATGATCCAGATGTGATTCAACAGGCAGCGGTTCGTAAAGAAATTTTTTGAATAAATCTTTCTTTGATGTTTGGCACATTAAAACACATTTTGCTTAAAAAAAATTATTTGTTTATATACGCCTATACGTCTTTATACGCCTATCACAAAGAAGATGAATGGTTGAGTGTGACTGATTCAATCCGAATCAGCGTCATGAACTGCCTCGAAAGCAATAAACCGACTAAAAAATCTGAATGTATGGCGACTCATTTCTACCGCCAAGTAACTTTCTGTTAAAGATCCAAAAGCTAGTGAAGCCTATCTTTATATACTCATTATAAAATGATAAAAAAAAAACATTCAAAAATTAAAGATATTTATGCTAAAAAAATGTAGAAAAATGGAACTCACCATCTTCATCAATACCAGGACGGTTGGCGAGACCTACCATGTGAAGAACGTCTCCAATAGGATAATCTTCGTAGACATGATATTTCCCATTATAAAACTGTGTGTCCATAATTATAACTACGTAAGCAAACATCGATATTTGATAGCACATTGAACGTGGAACGATACAAACCTAAAATTCGGTAAAAAAAGTAAAATAGAGAAAAATAAAAATGAACAAATAATTAACAGTCTCAGATAAAAAAAAGATAAAAAATTTAAAGCTAACCTGCACCGCGCCACTCTGAAACAATTGTTCCACTATAGTCATGTCCTTAGCTGTCGTTCCTTCATGAAGAAAACCAACACCACAAGCGAGTGTTTCTTTCAAAGTCTTATCCTATGATATCGAAAAAATAAATTTTTGTAAAATATTTTTCCTATCTTCTTTACAATATGAATAAATAATATTAAATACAAAAATTTTTTTTAAAAATATAAAAAAGTTAAAAAAACTTCAAAAATTTAGCTACCTGAACAGCATCTACTAATTGCACAAATCGAGGTTCTTGAGAATTTATATGAAGAAATCTCTTAGGCTGTCCATCAGCATGGGCCATTGTAATCATATCAACAGCTGTAGAACGAGAATGTCGCCGACTGGGCACAAAAACTAGAGCAGGCCGAGGCTGTAATTTGCCACCGTGACGCACAATTGCTGCATAAACGGGTCGGGCCATCGCTGCTAACCTGGATGCGGTATGCGATAGATTAAAACCCTGCAAACTGATGAATTTTCAATATCTTCAATGGAGAATAAGCATTTAGAAAATTTCACAGAAAAAATTTTTGATTTTAAAAAATTTTCGCCTTTAGAGACTAATATATAAATGTAAGAAAAAAAACCAACCTGGATGAATAATTCGAGAGGAAGTGGCCGACAATTCGGAGCGAAATTAAATGTTGCTTGAGAAGAACAACCAAGCCATTGGCCAATATCACGGGCGTTTGCTAGTGAAGACGACAAAGCAATTATTCTTATTGGAGAATCCAGCTGTGATGACATATATCGCATTCGTGAACAAATTATTTCTAGCACAGGCTGAAAGCTATCTTTATTTTCGCATTTTTCAACGAATATTTGACCAACAAAATAAGATATATTAAAATGGAGCTTTCATATTTTTAAAAAAACTATTTAAAAAATTGTTTAGACATAACAAAATAAACAAATTATTCACCCCATTATTCCCGCCAATCATATGCAAATCATCAACAATAAACAATTTGACCGCTTGAACATTTTTCCGCTGCTTCCAACGTCGACTAACGTTATCCCAACGCTCTGGGGTTGCTATAATTAACTGACCTCGCTGCAGCAATTTTAAATCTGTAGATGGTTCTCCAGTTAAAATGACAACCGTTTTTCCAAGCGCTCCACCAATTCGTTCTTGCCAGTCGGCGAAAACCTAACAAAAATTTTTGAGAAGTAAAATAATATGAGCCAAAAATAATAAAATGAAATAATTGAAATAAATTTAAAGGAAAGAAATGAAACCTTTTCAGCAAGATCTTCTATAGTTGTAACGTATATTGCTTTAGCATCAGGATTATTGTCGAAATGGCGAAGAATTGCGAATTCAACGCAAACTGTTTTCCCACTGCCATGTGGAGCACCAATAAAAACATTGTCATTCCCTTCATATACCGTTCGGAATACTAAAGGAACAATCGAATTTCAAAAAAAAACTTGCCAAAACCAAAGGATAAAATCATCCGATAACGGATCAAAATATACGCAAAAATATGAACCTTGGGTTTGAATAGGATTGAAAACTTTTATATTTTTCTCCAAGAAAATAGACTGAAACTGAGGATTATTAAGAGCAGATAATGGCAATGGCTGTAAATCAATAAGTTCTGTTGGAGGTGGATATTTCTCAGGTAGAATAAGATGGCGAAATGAAATGGGAAGAATTGTTTCGCTACCCAACCATCGATCAGAAACTGTAAAATATGAAAAATCCATTTATCAAGTAAATTTAAGCGAAAATTTTCTAATAGAAATGAGGAAAAACGAATTCATAGCATTAAAATCCAAAAAGAAATGAACTTTACTATTTGCACTTTTTTTATCAGGGAAATTTTTGATAAACAACGTAATAATATAAAATATTAACCTATTCGAATGAAATATAAAGGTGGAAGAGGATCGAAAACTGGTACAAACATTTTAACAAGATGTTCATCTTCACAAAACTTTTGTTTCAGAAGAAAATATTCATGATGCAAGATTAACTCTCCGTCAACATCTTCAACAAATATCCAAAAACCTTCAGCACTGCCTAAAAAATCAAATTATTGAGGCCAAAATCGAGAAAATAATGTTGATATAGGATGGTAGAAAATAATACAATGCAGAGAATTTAGAAAATCAAAGGCCTTTAATGATGCTAACATAAAAACAAAGAATTTAGAATTGTTTACCATGAACTCGTTCATCCCACTGAAAATCAGGAGTTATGGTCAATTCGATGCGTAATGTAGAACGGGTAATTGGCTGGATCATTGCAGTCATATCCAATTTCGGTAGCTGTTTTATAAAAGATTAAATAGAAAAATAATGGATAATAAAAATCAAAATCTAGAAAAATAGCAAGATTCTTTGCATTTCAAAGTGAAGTGAAAAAAATTGAAAAAAAAACCTGACGGATAAATTTGTAAAGTGGTTTTCCCATTTTCGGCATTTTGACCAGTTCACCAAGTTGATGCTGATCAAGATCATATAACCGCTCGAAGGAAATATTTTTCTTATCAATACTACGAGAAATCTAAAAATATCTGTTGAACATATTGAAGAAGATAATAAATTTAAATCAATGAATTTATGAAATCGTATTCACCTCCAATGGAATTTTCTTAAACTGATGAAGAGGATTTAAAGATTGCCATTGGCGTGCATTAACCATTTTGCAGACTCCGAGAACTTTCTGAAAAATAATTCTGAGCAAAATAATTAACAATATCAAATTTTCGCTAAATTTCTTACAATAAACAAATTTTAGCAGAGAGGAAATCAAAACTTATACTGTTAAGAAATGAATTATGTAAATTATTTTACATAAAAATTTTATAAAATAAGCCTTTCTATTCCTACCTTATATATAATAATTCTGTGAATTTAATCAAGGATTTGCAAAAAAAAACAAATCTTGATCCATTATTAACTCATACAAATAAGCTTTAAGGGTTAAAGATAATTTGATTTATAATTGAAATAAGATTTATACTTACAAATATTATTTGGTTTTATCATAAACATTAATATTATTAAATATTTACTATTAAATATTACATATTATATTTGATTTTATAGTAAATAACATTAAATCGAAAAAATATTATTTCGATATAGTATAGTAAATAACATTAAACTTTGTAAAATATTTAATATATTTTGTATATTTTGTATTAAATATTATATCCAATATAAAATATTTTACTATATTATATTGAAATATAATAAAAATAAGATACAATGGATTAAATTGCGCAAGCCTATTTTTTAGATCAAAATTTAAATCAAAAACCTTAATCTGTACTGAATATTACGATTTATTTTTAAAGTGCAGCAAGAGACGATAGATTGCAATAAACCTAATTGTGGGCGGGCCAAAATTTAGAATTCTCACTAAAAATTACTGGAATCATCAAATGAAGTGGCTTTTGCTCCAATTGTATTTTAATTTTAATAATAAATTGGACAAATTATTTATATAATATTCAGCCTTGATAAATATTGTAATTTTTCTCAACTGTCTATATCTCCCTTTATCTTTTTTTATTAATTTTTTCTCCTTTAAATTTTTCAAGTTAACGACCTCTGTTTTAAATAAATAAAATAAATAAGAAATACCTGCGCTAAATGCGCCCATCCTCTAAATAAAACGATTTCAAATAATGCACGAAATAAGCGACCAGCAGATTGACTTATAAAAATCATATCACATTGCAATGCGAAACCGTCCAATTTTAATTGTGAAATATATGCCTAAATGGAAAATAATGGAAAATCTTTTAGGGATAAAAACCTAAGATTTAAGGTTAAAAAAATGTTCCACTGATTAGCAATCTTGCGATGTTATATACAAAAATTTAAAGCGCTTAGTAATATGCTAATTTCCGACTTAAGTTCGCAAAGCATACTGCTGATAAAGTGCTTTTTCAATAATGCTTTTGACAATGCCACTCTATATACCAAATTAAACATACAAAATCAAATTTTTTCGAAATTGAAACTAACTTGAAGTAGCACATTAACTTTCGCACTACTTTCCTCCAGACTTTCCTTAATAGGAATAGGTACATGCTCTGCCAGTTTTTGCAATTCAATTTTTTCCTCTTCACGAACCATTATATGTTTGAACTCAGAAGACATGGAAAAAATGCGGAAAAGATCTATTTCAGTTGCTGTTGCCTTTAACAATTGATTATAGGTTTGCATAGTGTCATGGGTACAGTAATAATGAGATGCAATACGCCCCAATTCAGTTGCCTGAAACGAATATTTATATATCGATTGCGAAACCAATGTGCACCCCTTTAAGCAAAATGAGATGACAGCAAAAAAAAGAAAAACAACAACAAAACAAACCTGAATAAATCCACTCTTGCGGTCATATTTTATAAGATTTGCTTTTTCCAACTGAACTGCTGCAGTATGAACTAAATCTGCTCGACGTTGTTCCAACAGAGGATCACTCTTCTAAAGAATTCATGAATAAATATCGAAATACTAGATCAAAAACAATGAAATGAAATAAAAAATGAACCAACCGCTTGTTCATGAGAGATTCCATATAAAGTTGGCGCTTTAACCATCCTCAAATATAAATATGTATATCCCAGCCAGTTCATTGCATCGCTTACATTGTTTATTGAGCCCAAAACAATTTCGGCATTCAAAACATCAGGTAACTTAGAAATCAATTGACTTTCGATTGGTAACTGAAAAACTTTAATGCTAAATAAAATTTTAAAAGGTTGCGAAAATTTTCATGGAATAATTTTAAAAAGTCGTACTTAAACATCAAAAAATAGCAAAATAAATGAAATTTTCAACTGCTGCATTTAAAAAACACACCTGTTGATTCATTAAAGAAAGATAATATTGCAATTCCGACCGGTTAGTAATCATAATACCTTTTCCTTTAGAATCATATTGTGGTCTTCCTGCTCTTCCAAGCATCTAGATAAAACGTCTAGACAGATAGACATACGAAATTTTCAGTTAAATCAGCAATAAAGTCAAAGTGAAGACAATCAAAATGATCGAGAACAGAAAAACAAATAAATAAAGAACAAAAATACCTGCATAACATCCAGTGCCCCTAATTCAGTCCATCTGCCCAATTCAGGATTATAAATCTGTGTTCCTTTGATGATTACGGTATGCGCTGGTAGATTTACACCCCAAGCAAGTGTTGCTGTTGAAACAAGCACCTAGTATGAAATAAAATGAAATAATGAATTTGACCAAATAGAAGACAAAAAGAAATAAAAAATAAAAAAACCTGTAAATGGCGATCAGCGAAAAGATCTTCAACTAAGGTACGATCGACTCGAGTCATTCCAGCATGATGGATTGCAAAACCATATGGAATCAAATCACGCAAATCAGCATTTGCAACCTAATAATACAAATCAAACTGAATTTTTAACTCTTATTTAGTCAAAAAAATACCTTCCGACCAAACGACAAAATAAAAATATTGACGAGTATGAGTGACAATACTTGTGAAGCTTCGCTTCGTAGAATTTCCGTACTAGCACTTCCTTCACGCATAAAAGCACTTAAAGTATCTTTTTCCAGGCAGGTGTCACGAATTGCTTTAGCTGTTTTTGCAGTCTCTTTACGAGAATGAACGAAAATGAGAACCTTAAATGATTAAATATAACAAGGATATACAAAAAAAATCTCAAAATCTTTCAACTGAATATTAATTTTTTTTTTTGAGTATTATGAAAGCAACTCCGCCTGAATCATCAGAATGGAAATTTGATTCTTGATTTTCACACAATACCATTTTTCACTCTTTTTATGTTTTCAAATTTTTTGACTAAAAGTTAGATTTTTATACTAGTAAGAACATAATTTTTTTAAAAATTTATTTATAATTATAATTTATTCCAAAATAAATAGATTAAAAAATTAGCTGAAAATGGGGAAACGATGAAAATGTCGTGAAAGACTTATTTGCTGAAATTTCTAATAATTTTCAGTGAAAATCATATATAATTTAAGGTAGAAAATAAAAAATCAAGTATTTGATGAAAAGTTAAATAATTTTAAAGTATTGAAATTAAAAATTAAAAATGAAAATTCACTTGGCTTTTTCCTGCATGTTCCATAACTTTATCATAAACGACTTCATTCATTGCTTGGAATCTTTTTAAGGCTTTCTTTTCTGTTATTCCAATATAAAGTTGCTCAAGAGGAACAGGTCGAAAACTATTATCAAAGAAATAAAGGTGACCAGGCTTTACACGCAAAAATGTCCCGACATCTTGATAATTTGGCAAAGTGGCCGACAATCCCACTAAGCGACATTCCTCATGATTTTGCTCCATTTGACGTAGGGTTCTAAAATGAACTATAAAATGTTGTTTTTATCTCCCTACTTTTTCTATTTAAATCCATATTCTATATTTCCACTATCTGTTGAAAACCTTAACTGAATGTTTGGCAAAAAATACAAGGAACTTGACAAAGAAATGAGCTTATGAATATTTTATATCAAAAAAGAAACTCCTCAGATCAATTGTGCATAGAACTTGGCAATATCATTAATTAATATAAATTATCATAATAAAAAATGGCTCTGACTAACCGAACAACTATGGCTTCTAAAACTGGTCCTCTTGAATCGTGAAGTAAATGGATCTCATCAATAATTAATAAACTGACTAATTGGCTGTAGGCTCGCTCGCCACCTAAAACATTAAATTTAATTTTACTATATTTTGAAATAAAAAGCAAATTGAGTAAATCATGCATCAACTTCAATAATCGGAAAATAATTCCGAGTTTCGTTTATGAAAATAGAAAAATAGGTAAAATTATACCTTTTCTAGTCACGATATCATATTTCTCCGGCGTACAAACGATAATTTGCGTTTGCATGAACTGGTCCTTGTTCATCTGCTGATCACCAGTCATTTCACCAACCTTCAAGGTTAGTTATTAGTTTTTTTTTTTTTTAACTACAGTTCTTTTCAAACCTAATATTTAAAAATTTATGAAACAAACAAAAGATACCTTGATTCTTCAAAAAAGTTATTTTAGCAGATCACTTTTATCTTAATTTTTATTTGAACAACCAGTGATGAACCCTTAAAACTTACCACAATTTTATATGGAGCCAGTCTTTTGCTGAAATTGCCAACCATTTCTTGGACAAGTGATTTCATTGGCGCAATATAAATGCATTTAAATTCATCAACTCTTATCGAACCATCCTCATTCATATGCTTTGAAATTTCGCGCAAAATACATAAAAGTGCTACATTAGTTTTACCAGCGCCCTAAAAATCAGCTGTAAAAATAAAAAAAACTACCAAAAGCACTCACAGTTATTTTAAAACCTTTGAAAATCGAATTTGGAATTATACAAAAAAATGACCAAATTTCGAAAAATTTTTTGTATTAGAAACGAATTATGAGATAAATATTTCTTCAAGCTTACTGTTGGTGCGCATAGCAATAAATGTTCGTCAGTTTTAAGAGCTGACTCGTATAATTTTGACTGGATTCGATTGAGTGTTTTGTATCCATCAAATGCTTGCTGGGCGAATTTTGGTAACTCGGCAATTGTAACCAATTTCTAAACCAAAAAAATTTCAAAATTTCAATCGAAACATAAAATTCTAAATTCAGTGTAGATAAATTTATATAGAGCTGATTACACAAGATCAGTGAAAAATTTGAAAATCTTCGAATATAAAAAAAATTTTGCCTCATTTTCTCCGAATGGCTTAGGTTTGAGCGCTGGAACGTGAAGTTCTTCATAGCTTTTCTTCTGTTTACGATATGAACCATCTGGCAAATGACATTTCTAAAATACACTTGAGCTATTCAGAAGCTATGAGATCTGCTCTATTTTTAACAAAAAAAAGTTAAAAAAAAGAATAGAAATCATAGAAAGAATAGAATAGAAATAGAAGAAAGACAAAAATTTATTAACAAAAATATTAAACCTTATTTCCTATAAAAGGTGATCCATGCGCAAATGAAAGATCTTCAAGATCAAGGATTTTGCGTGACTGCATCCAGTTTCCAGCTGATGTTGCTTCATCTCCACGACCTTGGGCACCCGCCATGCGTCGTTGTTGTTGAGCACGTGCTCTTTTTTCTCGTTCTGACTGAAAATCAGGACAATTTTAAAAGGAAATAATTTCTTCAAATCACATGGATTTTCTATCTTACTTCAGTCCTTCTTTTAAAGAATTTTAAAGAATTTTTTAAAGAATTTTTTAAGAATTTTCCATTATTAGTTCCGCTGGCTTGTCGCATTAAACAAATATGCCAGAGAGTACCTTGGCGATAGATATACAGGTGAGTCGCCAGCATCACCTGGATTTCTGGACAGGTTTACTCCTGTGGGGAATCGAACCCCAGCATCGGCGCTTCCAATTGAACAACAACCCACTGAGCCACACTATCCTACTTTATTTCATTTATTGAATATTAATAGATATAATTAAGAAAATATAAAAAATAACCTCGATAATATCGGTATTTTCAACTTCTTGCAATTCAGTAAGGATAGAATGCAATTCTGGTTTACTGAGCATTTCTTTCTCAATTTCTTCTCTTTCCTTACCTTCTTGCGCACGTTTCAGTAAAGTACAATATAAAATCATTTGACGGTGTTGACGCAGTACTTTAATAAATTCGAACTGATCAAAACCAAGAAGTAAAACAAGTTGATTTTCGCAGTCTCTATCATCTGAAGCCTCCTGAAAAATAAAACAAAGTACAATAAAATAAACAAATAAATAGTAATTAAAAATAGTAGTAATAAAGTGGCTAATTTCTATTGAATTTATTAAATATTTGCAAAAATAGCTACCTTCAATATGTGGAGAACTTCATTTACTTTTTGTTGTGCAATAATCGGATCTTTATAAAATTTAGAAAGAGAACGCTGGATCCAATGTGCATCAATATCACGAGCATTTAAAACACCTTTGCGATTACCACTAGCATCCTCAATATAAGATTTGAGAAAACTAAATTTCAATTTCAATATGTCAATTTAAATTTATAACCAAAAATAAATTGTTTATTGAATAAAATAATGTAACAGAACTAAAGGATGAAGGACAAAAAGAAAAAACCACAAAAATTTAGCCTAATAATATTTACTTCTTCATCCATAAGGCCAGCTTTTAATGTCTCTTCAAATACTGCTTCGACACCACCTTCTTCATCATCTTCATCTTCTTCCTTCACCACATCTTCCATTGCCTCATCACCTTCTGCTTCATCATCTGAATCATCGAAATGAACATTCACTCCAATCGTTTCATCGATTTCGTCTTGCTGAATTATAATATGAACTTTAATTTAAAAAAACTAATCTAAACTAAAAAAAACTAAACTAATGAGGTTAAAAATTAAGCTATGAACTAGAATTATAGAGATAAAATGAAACTTACGTTATCAGGTTGAATTCTATCCTCATCTAATGAAAAATCTGTAATTTTTTTTGCCAGGTTCATTAATACTGCAATACGTTCATCAGTGAGAGGTCCAAGAAGTAGTTCCACTTCTTTTTTTCGATCTTTTTCACGTATTTTTTCAGATTTTAATACAGCCAAAACTTCATCAGCAGCACCGCATAAAATATCTCGCGGCTATAAAATTATTTACTTCATTTGTATATTTACCAAATATCCAACAAAACTTTTTAAGAAATAAAAATATAAAAGAAATATTTCGAAAAAATACAGACTTGATCACCAATTGCATCTTGAATATATGCAAGAATAGCTTCGTATGTTTGCTTCGTTTCTTGAGTTCTCGGTTTATATAAACTTAACATTTCGCTATTTGAATCGCCAAGTAATGTTGCTGTTGCAGCATTAGGAACTGACAAATCTGTATCATTTTTTTTTTTCCTAAAAATTCCCTTTTAATAACTGCAAATAAAACCAATTACCAATTAAAAAAATACATATGAAAAAAGCAAACTTTTTCGATTTTTTTTGATCACCCTGAGGAGGCTTCATACGCATAAATTTGTCTCCCATCTTAACACCAGCCAACATATTTTTTGTAAGAGGCATAACTTCACCAGTCGGTTCATCACGACCTCGACGATCAGTAAAATTAAAATCCACTTGCAAAACAAGATTACTATTCTAAAAATTAAATTTCATCGCTCATCAATAATAATTTTGCCTAAAATTACAAAAGTTCTATAACAGAATATATAGAATATATAAAGTTCTATAACTTCTAAAAGTGATAAATGTGCCAAATCTTTTTTTTCAAATTTTATCAAAATCATAAATTTTTGTTCCAAAATAAAACATTTTAATGAAAACCTGTCTATATTCATATTGTTGAACACGTGCTATTTCGTCGGCCATGTTTCCTTTCCAAGAAAATTTTTATTTCCAAGTGATTCTAAAAAATTCTAGTGGGTCAATTATATTAAACACAATGAAAAGAAAAATAATTTCGTTCGCAATAATAAAAATAAAAAAATGGATATTACGCAGCACAAATATCTTAAATCTTATCTTAAATTTATCCCGACAATCTGATTTCAACTGATAAACTCGAATGTCTTTTAAGGTTAGCTGGTTCGATAAACCTCTAAAAAATTTTCGGGATAAATAAAACGAATAGATAACGCAATAAAAAATATGAAAGAATATGAAGGATATTATAATACTGGATGCAAAACTAAAGAAATTATTGCAAATTATTAATAAGAAAATGGCCCAGCAAAGGAATGGATATGACAGAGATAAAAATAGAATGACAGTCTAGTGGTATGTGGTTTCAATTAAAATCAAGCACAATAGGTTTGGGTCCTTCTATTGGACCAAAATTAGGGTAAACCTCGAATGTTACTGGATATTTATACTATTACTTTCAAATAACTCTTCGGCGAGGGGAAAACAATCTTGTCAAAATGGTAGCCAAATGAAACAAAATAAAATACTAATACTAAAATACTAAAAAGTACTAATAAGAGGTAATATTCTTTTCCTTCCTTCATCCTTTCTCTCCTTTTTTTCCCTTTCAATAAATATAAATCATTTCTGGTTTGGCCACTGATTGCTAATGTGAGGTAATAGCAGAGTCACCTAAGGATAAATACAAAAAATCACCATCACTGCCCGGACTTCACCTTTAATCCATAGATTCATTTCCATTACGAATCAAATGGATACTAATTCCCTTTGTGGCGAATAAATACACCGCTCCGCTCCTCCGGACCCACCGCACTCACTGATGACACCAATAATATTACCGATCAAGAGGAATCAGAACTATAGCAAAAAAATTAGACGCAAATCAACAAAAAAATCGACCATACTACTGTTGCCAGAATTTCGTTGTGAGACAACTCAGTTTTTAAGCAATTTTTATTTTCTACTTTAATCTTGCTAGTTTGAAAGGAAATTCGAAGAGCGGAAATTCAAAAATTGTCTAATTTTTTATTAATTTTTTATTAAATTATTGATTTTATTTTAATTTAATAATTTAATTTAATTTTATATTTAATTTTATTAGACCTTTCAAAATTTTTTTTTTGAATTCTAAAATTGCAATTTTATTCAAAAATTTCAAAAAAATTTAAAATTATAAATTTAATATTTCTAATTTTTTATTATTAATTGACCGATGATTTAATAAATAAATTTCATTTATTTATTTATTTCATTTTGTAAATTATTTTATTTTAAATTTAAATTTAATAATTTTTAATTTAAAATTAATTTAATAAAATTTAATAATTAAAAATAAATTTAAATAAATTTAAAAATAAATTAAAATTTATTAAATTTAATAAATTTAAATAATTTAATAAAATTTAATAATTTAAATCTAATAATTTTATCGAATATTTAATATTAATAATGAAATATTTTAACAAAAAAAAATTGCCTAATATAATTCACGTATATGCAATCGATTCAAAAGATGGACTGACGATGCTTCTATATAACACCAACTAATAGGTTGTAACATAGAGCGATCCGTTGTAATGAAAGGCTATGGCCATGTAAAATACGCGAAAAAAACGACAAAACCACGATTTGCCGATTATACGATTGCTATTTCAGCCGTCAACCATTTTTTTACCCTACGAACACTCGCCATTGCCGTTTAAGCTCACTGCTCTGATCTATCGCAGTAGGCAAATATGCAGGAAATGTCTCTCCCCTGACGATAGAAGTACCGATGAATCATCCGAATTTTTGAACAGCTTTACCACTGCGAAGAGTAGAACCTCAGCACTTGCGCTCTGAATTGAGCAACAACCCACTGAGCCATTCCACTTCCAACCATTAACCATGCTTATAATTTCCAAACAACCTTCATCAGTTTTCACTATTCTCTATAGTCATTCATTTTTGTTTTCTTACACCGCGCACCGGTTTGACTGATTAAGTTACTTCTAACAGAAAAGTGTTAAATTTATCGCCGACTCGCCCGTACCATCCAAATTTCAATTATCTAAAAACTCCAATATTCCAGAAATTCTATGAAATAAAATTAATCTCTAAAAACTTTCGTAATCCAGAAGTTCTATGAATCAAATTTATTCTCTTCCTTGGAATTTTAATTTTTTTATCCTAAAATTAATCATTCATTCAAGTTAATTAAAATTATATAATTTTAGCAAATATCCATTTTTTTTTTGTCCACAACTGTCCACAATACGTGAGACTAATTTTTAGGTCGATATAAAACGGTTCCATGATGGGATTAATATTTTAATAATCACATTAGATGGCCAAGTAATACTTTGCCAAGTACCATACAATAATTGGATATTTAAATTTACTTTATCATTATTTTAATAATCACATTAGATGGCCAAGTAATACTTTGCCAAGTACCATACAATAATTGGATATTTAAATTTACTTTATCATTATTTTAATAATCACATTAGATGGCCAAGTAATACTTTACCAAGTACCATACAATAATTGGATATTTAAATTTACTTTATCATTATTTTAATAATCACATTAGATGGCCAAGTAATACTTTGCCAAGTACCATACAATAATTGGATATTTAAATTTACTTTATCATTATTTTAATAATCACATTAGATGGCCAAGTAATACTTTGCCAAGTACCATACAATAATTGGATATTTAAATTTACTTTATCATTATTTTAATAGTCACATTAGATGGCCAAGTAATGCTTTGCCAAGTACCATACAATAATTAGATATTTAAATTTACTTTATCATTTATTTTCTTTATCTTTTAAACCTCACATTTTACGAAATCTTGCGCTGGAAAGGTTGAAAATTTTTTGGCTTTTTTTAACTTATTTATTATTTATATGTATTATTTATATATTATTATTTATTATTTATATATAAAGCCTTTTATAGAATTTTTTTTTAACTAATTCAAGAAAATGCGAAAAACTTTTCGGTTATCTGGTCTGCGGCCAAATAGCACACATTGAAAGTTTTATATTCGTATAATCCAACCTTTTTTTCCTCTTTTTTATTTTCTACAATCTTTTTCTATTTTTTTTCTTCTCCATCATACCTAAATTTATTTCGCTATTCTATTAATATTAGATAAATGCTTGAATAGAGTACTGAAAAAATTTCATGCCAGTTAATTTCCCATTGAACAATTCCACTAATATAATTCTTTTTTACATATTTCACTTAGCATTCTGACTTGGCTAACTCCGTTGACTGCAAATTGACTACAACTATTTCACCGTTTAAATAGCATTTTTTATAATTTACAAAGCAATTTTTAATTTGATAGTATAGTACGGAATAATTTCACCACGAAATGTAATTGTCATTTGAAATACAAGAATAAAATTGTTCTTAGGATATTCACATTTATTTTTCTGAGGTGCGTTGATGGCTTAGTGGCAAGGTAATTGTCCAGAATGGCTCGGCGACGTGTCACTTTCGTCCGATTGAACGATGACGAAAGTAAAAAGGGTAAAAGTGGCTCGGACTCGGACAATTGTTGCTTTTCGGATAGCCGATGCTAGTTCCACACCTGGCAAAAAAATCCTGGTACTGCTAACGATTTATATATATTTCGCTACTATCACCTTCTTTCTAAATAGTATCCTACAGCTAATTCGAAATATAGCATTTCTATATTTCATCTTCAATAAATTATAAAAAATTCAAAAAATTATTAGATAACAACTCTCAAATAAGCGCTTTATATACAGAGATTTCATATTTATTAATACAAATTATGTAAATTTCAAATAAATAAGGGCGAGAAAGGGAAACCTAAAATCAGCTTTATATATATGAATAATGGAGATAATTGCTAAAATGATCTAAAACATCAACAGAATTTAAGATAAAATTAGTAAAAAAATCAATTTTATTATATAAAAAATTTTTACGATTGAAAATTGGATGTGGAATAGATTATGAATAAAATCTTCGTAAAATTTTATTCAAATATTATTAAATTATTAATTATTAAATTTATGAGATCATTATTCACAGAATTATGGATTTAAATGTTCATTTCATGATTTTCGATTGTTAATAAAAATCAATTAAGATAGATGCCCATATTTCTTCTGTATATTATATAATGTAAAAACAAGATTTCGAGCCAATTCAGGAACTTTAGAAAAATCTTTGCCAGAAAATGAAAATCTGAAATACAATCTTTTCCAAAATGTAACAACAATTTAAAAATATCAAAATGATTATTATTTCTGTTGAAATGTTGAATTTGATAGAAAAAAATCCTAAAAAACTAAACGAACTTCTAATAATCGAAATTATACGACTTAATTATTATTATCGAGTAAAAAATGTAAACCTTTCTTCCTCACTGCCATTCATAAAAATATATTCTCCAGCTGCTTGGCTGGAATTTCTAACTGATTTTAACGGCTTCGAGTTACGTAAAATAATTTTAATCACTTTAGAATAGTCCTAAAATTTGAGACGAAAAGGAAAACTAAAATAAATAACATCGAATATAAAAAAAAAATACTATAAAGAAATTTCCAAATTTTTAAAATAATTTTAAAACCAAATAATTAAGATTTCAAAAATAAAACTTTAAAAAATATAAGAACTTACTGAATTATAATATTTTAAATCGTATTCATCATCACACAACAAACGAGCCTATAATTACTTTATTTTCATAATTTATTAAAAATTTTGAAAATTTAAACATTTAGAAAATTTAAAAATTTTTATCGGAAAATTCTAATTGTTTCTATGGATAAATAATTTTTATAAACAATCTTCATCAATAATAAATGAATTTATCTTATTAATTTGTCGTAATTTTTAAATAAATATAAAAATTAAATATAAAATAGCAGATATAAATACAAATAAAAAAATATAAACAAAATTAATAAAAAATTAAAATGGCATATTTATGTTTAAATTTTAGTGTAATAGAAAAGTAAACAAAAAAAATGGTGCAAACATATAAAACATACTTTGTCTTGCACTTGATGATCATTCTTTAAATTGCCGTTATACGATGGATCTCGCTTAAAGAATTTTAATAAATTTTAAAAAAATGGAATAGGAAAAAAATAGCATATTGCATAAAAGAAAAATAAAAAAACAATTTTACAAATGAATTAAATGAATTAAACAATATATAACAAAACAAATGATTATATAAAAAAATAATAAATATAATAAAATAATGGAATTTACGGAATTTCTTCTCGAATTCGATAATGGTTTTAAAAACGATATTACATCCTTTTGAACTGCATTGCGCTGATTTGTTACGTATTTATTTTCTTTATTTTCTTGTAATGAAATAACTCGAAAAGGTGTCCTTTTTGATTCTTTCACAACTTCAGAAGGCGAGCCGTATTTTCGTTTATTTTCAACTTTTCCGGGAATAGGAAGGCTGCAAATATACATACGCACATAGATATTTGCGCTCAAGACCATTTTATATAAATCCAAGTGATTTTCTTAGAAAAAAATTCCCTAATATTCAATAAATCTGACAAAATTAAAAGTACTGACTACTATTAGAAGAATAAAACTTAAAAATAAAAATTATACTAACTTCTCCAAACAAAAAATACAAGGGATGCAAGGAAAAACAACTGCATCACCAGTTACGTAATAAAAAATCATTATATTGCCTATATAATAATTTGCTATATTTAACAGGTCCGGTACGCGGTGAAAAAAGTGACTATTCACACTGGAAAATTCTGGTTTACATGAACTGAAGTTCTCTAGCATCTATGTTTTTTCGCTTTATTGAAATTCATCATACTTGGTTTAAAACCTCCTGAAGCCGAATGAAATATATCTTATATAACATCCTTATATTCCCTTTAGCATAACTTCTCCTGCTAAACTTCTCCGATAATCTTAGTAATCTTAAACCCAACGAATGTCTCCCAGGCTCAATTTGTTCTCTTCATGCCCAATCTTGATAATATCGTAGCCGGTAAATGAAAATTCGAGTAACGTTATTTTAAAGAACAATAGGGACGTTGCTAGATTATATAAGGAGTGTTAACTGAATATTGCGAACTTTTAGGGATGTGAAAGGGTGTACCCTGGTTTGGAGATTATTCTTCTTGCCATCTGTGAATCCATTTTATTATCAGATTTTCCAGTTTTTTTTATACATGATAAATCACATTTAAAGTTAAAGCTAAGTAATTTAAAATGGCTGAATCTAAAAATAGACCAGCGATACGGAAAACAGAAATATATCAATTGCTTCCTTAAATTAAAATCCATCGGTTTTTTTTGCAAATATAGAAAATTTTTAAACTTTAAAATAAATTAAATCAATTCAAATACCTAGAATAGGATAAATATAACGGAAATAGTTTGAATTTTTGCAATGATTCACTCTTGCGCATTGCAAATTCCAATGCTTCTTCCAGTTGTAATACTTCCGTTCGAGCGTAATGAAATAATTCCGTTTCTTCTATAAGAAATATCTTTGATGAACCGAATGCCTTTAATAAATTAATATATAATATAAAATAATATAATTCACTAATAGTTTACATAATAGCCTACGAGATATTTTTCGAAATCGGCCAAAATATCGTTCGAGAATCAGTGATTCCTAAGCAGCAAGTAAATAAGTTCCGAGAATCTTATTCCGAGAAATTTTTTTTTGGAAATGAAATCAGAAGTTTTGAGATCCACTTTCCGAAATAATTTTTGTAAGATAAATGATTTGCTAGGTAAACGATTTGCAATTCAAAAGAGATGCAAAAAACAGCCATAGTAATATATTTGAGAATAATATTCTATAATAGTTGAATAGTGATAACAACTGATAAAAATTTAAAAGTGAAAAAAGACAATTAACACTGATAAGAGCAATAATTAATAGATAAGAGATAGATATTATGAAAAAAAATAAATAAAAATAACAGAAGAAAGGCCGGATAGAGTGAAAGAAAAATTAAATTGCATGTCATTAGAATTTAAATTGCCAACTCCACATTCAATATATTAAATCCCGAAAGTGACGGCAAATTAGGTTGGGTCTTCGAAATGGACTATCATAATAATTGATCATTTTTATCTCTAAACTTACCATTATTTAAATCTGTAGATTTATCATTGACAGAAACCTGCAATGGGTCATTTTTTCGATTTTGTATTGCTATACGACCTGAAAAAGAAAATTGAAAAAGAAACTGAAACTAAATTATCTAATAATTCATTTATTAAAATAAAATATAATTTTCAGAGATAATTTAATATTATTAATGACATTTCTATAAATGGCTGTCCAAAAAAACAATGCACCATCATCGAATTCCAGTCGGAAATCACCATTTTCCATCAACCGAGCTGTTGTTTCTGAAGACGGTCTGAAAACGATCTTTTCAATTTGACCACCAACATACCTCACTGCCTGAATAATTCGTCCATAGCATCGCAAAGCTATCTGATTATTTTGATTATTATCTGCCAAACCTTGCAAACTAAAAACCTTGCAAAATTGTATGTATCGATAATAAAATATCAAGAAATCAAAAAATTTATTATTTCTTTTCAAACTAATATGAAATAAGATTTTAAGAATGTAATTTCTTTTTTCATTGATGAATACCAAAAAACAAAATAATGCAGAAAAAAGAAAAAAAATTTTTTTCAATAATTTCGCGAAGAAACAAAATAAACAAAAAATGCATAACAAACCTAGTATAAATTCGACGTGATGACCGATCCACAGGAACTGGAGGTTCATCTTTTTCTGGAATAGCCATTTTATGCATTGGTCGATATACTGAAAGTGACTGTTCACCATTTACTCCTTTTTCCAACACAAATACCGCACTCACTTTAGGTTTATTCATAACAAGTTCTTTTTTCGTAGCCACTTCAAATGTTATGGAATTCTCTTCATCGAAAAGAAACTGAAATTCGTCGACTATTCTTTTGTAAATTAAATGCTCTATTCTCTAAAAATTCTTGAAAATAATAAATATCTCAAAACTATCTATTTCTAACACATTGTTAAATGTAAATATAAGAGAATAAATATGAAACGTTAAAAAAAATCAAAACTTGCTAACCCTTCCAGCAGTTATCACATATCTGAAAGGATGAAGCCTTGAAAAATTTAAGGGCCAAACCAATCTGTTATTAGAATCTGAATTGTTCAATGGCATTTTATGATCATTTCCATGTGAAGCATTATCATGATCTTGTGAATTATCCACACAAGCTCGATTACAGGAATTAATTTTTCTAGAAATTATAAAGCCGATTAAATAACATTAAGTGGTATGCTGCTTTGACTAAGATTATTTATTAGGGCCACAAAAGCTACTATCCGTTTAATGAGACGAGGGTTAACGAGATTCACTATTTGAAGTTAAATCCGAGTACTGCTAGGGACTTATCTCTACTTTTATCCACACTGTTATAAAAGATTTCTTATATCACCATAGACTCCATCTTCACAGAAGCCAAATTAAACAAAGTATATGGTGCTAGAAAAAGTAAGAGAAAGAAATGAAAATTAATGGCAATATTGCGAATGAAAGTAATAAAAAAAATTCAAGAATATTCAAAAAAAATGGAAAACCTGTGATTAGACGACGACCGATCAAATCCTTGTACCCGAGACCTCCTAATTCCACATAATCGACATAAATTATTTTCAAACGTAACATGCCTACATTCTCTTCGATATTCGTAATCACGAAATGGACCATTTTCCTAAAAAAAAAAAGTAAAACATAAAACATAAAATTGCAAAAATAAAGTTGAAAAGAATAATAATATGAAAAATGTAAGACTGCTTCAATATCCATACCTTTATATCTACATCGCCACTTTCAAACGCCGAATCTTTCGTTGTTCTTTTACAAGAAATTGCGCATGGCTGAGAGGAAAGAGCCCGTATTCTTACAGGTGACGGGGATTTTGTTCTAACTGAATGTTTTTTTTGGAATTTCTGAAAAAAAAACTCAATTTAAAACAAAAATGAAAAAGTAGAAAAAAATTTTGAAAATGGAAAAGAATACTTCGTACGATGACTGTTTAAAGCCATCTTTTGATTGTCCTCTCCATGAAGTTCTATCATGAAGATCCATCTCGTCCGCTTTACGCATAAAACTGCTCATAGTTATACCTACCAAATTTTATTCATTAGAGATGAATACACAAAATTTTTCTTCTTTCGTAAAAAAAATAATATTATCATTCTAAACTAATATTATATTAAAAAAATCTGAATTGCATTACCTCCAAGATTTATTCTAGATTCCTCAGTAGGCTGCATCATTTCTTTTATAAGAGTAACTCCTTCAGGCGATATATTATCGAACTTCAACTGAAGATCTCGAGAAGATGGATTTTGATCTTTTTTAGGAGCAGGAGGATCTTTTCCAGCTAGCATCAAATATAAGATACCACCAAGGGAAAAAATATCGGCTTTTTGATCATATTTTTTGCCAAACACCTGTCTGAAGGACAACAGTTGGAAATTTCAATAGAAATAAGTAAAAGAAATATATCAAAATTAAGAATATATCAATATATTAATTAAATATTAAAACTATATAAAACTGTATAACATTATATTGATAAAATATATATTGATATTTGATAAAATATGACCATGTATAAATATGAATTTTTTTTTTAAAAGTTCTCATCATTACTGGTTAAACTCCGCTGGCTTTTAGCACTTGATAAATATGCTAAGAAATTCCTTGGCGATAGAAGTATAGGTGACTCGCTAGCATCACCCGCATTTTTGGAGATTTACTCCTGCTGGGAATTGAACCCAAGCATAGGCGCTCCCAATTGAACAACAACCCACTGAGCCATTCTATCTCATATGAATATTCAAATGGAAAAAAGAAATTTAAAACATTACGGGGCTATATATCCTGGAGTACCAAGCATTGTTCGAGCAATATCACCTGCATAAAAATAAGTTGCCAAACCAAAATCAGAAAGTTTCTAAAGTAAAATAACGATATATGGAAACAATGATATGAAAATATAACAAGAAATGCATTTAACTAGCAATATATAAAGCATCTATCTTAAATCACTAACCACTTTAAGTTTTTTTCCAAATTTTTCGTTTCTAATATCCGAAATTAAAACATTGCCAGATGAAATATCTCTGTGGATCATTCCATTTTCGTGAATGTATTTCGTAGCAGCTACCAACTGTCGCAAAACATGAGCAGCTAAAAAACTTAATTAGTTAAATCCAACTACTACCATTGGATTGAGTTAAACAACCTATAACGATCCTTCTATCACCAGTTGATTTTCTCGGAAAAATTTCAAATAAGCGAGGCCAATGAACGTTACTACCAATGAATTGAAAAATATTTTAAAAAATGGATATTTGATATTCTATCCATATCAAAAATATTGACTGGAGACAATATGGAAAAATAATTGATATCCAGCAAATATATCGCTATAAATATATATGAAATACCTGAATAATCATTCAATTGCCCATTCTGTTTTACATAATCTCTAAGCGATCTATGTTTGCAATACTCCATAACAATATATTGGGAGCCATTTTCTTTAAACTGTTCATAAAATTCAACAATGCTAGGATGGCGTAAATTTTTCAGAGCATCCAACTCAACAATGCTAGGATGGCGTAAATTTTTCAGAGCATCCAACTCCAATTCAACACGATTGCTGGGTACTTTACTTGTATCAATCTGGAAATGAATGTTTTTAGAAAATATGTATAAAAAGTGAGAAAAATTCTAAATATCTACACAAATATATAACTGTTCTAAACCCGTAAAACCCGTAAAATATTAAAAATTTTAAAAGACTTACCCTTTTTACAGCGACCTCCTTTCCAGTGGACAAACAGCGACATAAATAAACAACACCGAATCCACCTTGACCAATTTTTTCCACTACTTTATACTTCTAAAAACAAATATAAAGAGATCGATAATAGACTGTTAATGACCCATTGTTTGTTTTTATTTTATAAATTCTGTGGCTTGATTTCAAAATAACTTTATATTAATTAAGAAATTGGTAAATTGGTACTCGTCCGTTAACCGATATTTTATCTCTTTGTACTGTATTGTCTATTTCTTCTACTCTGATAATTGATAAAATAAAAATTAACATCAAAATAACAAAATAAATGAATAATAACAAAAAACCTTTCCAAATTCATTCATCCTTTAGTTATTCATGAAAATCACCACAAATTCAAAGCTGAAATTTGATAAGAATTGATAAGGAAAAGTTGATAAGGATTATATTTGTAAATTAAAATTATATTAAAAACGATACTAATAATTAAACCAATGATTTTCATGAAAGATTTTGAATGTATAGAGTAATCAACGATATATGAATTTAGACGATGTAAAAAGGAATGGTTATTATTATTAGCGATGGTGTAGGACCGAGCAGCTTGGAAACCGTCTTACTCTTGTAGCCACCAGAGCCAACCTAACCAGTAATGGTAAGAGCTTCTAGAAGAAGAAGAATTAAACCAATAAACATTTGAGAATTCATATCAAAAAGAAAATATCTAAAATAATTTATGTAATTTAATTCGCTGTATTCCCTCTGTATGTAAATAAGTAAGAAACATATACTACTCTCCAAAACCTGTCATATCCTCTGCGAGCATCCGATACCTTATCTCTCTTCAGCAATCAAGTATCTTCCTAATATTCCTCTCATCCTATAAGAGTTCAGTGTTCTCTCTCATTCTAATCCATAATATCTTCGTAGATCCATAATATCCGCAAAATTACCACTGAAACTCTCTCATATCTCCTTAAACTCGGCCGCACTCTTCTAGTATTTCATTATTAATGCTAAATTTTTGTGAAAAATCTCCCCAGTCTTGAGTTAAACCGTCGTAAGCTTTAATATCTCTAAAGCTTATTGTAATTCATTCATTTTAGCAATAATCTATTTGCGAAGCCATTTTAAAGCCACTCACTACTCGTATGCGGAACATCTTTACTATGAAAAGCATTTGTGAAATATAATATTAACAATGTTAGCACGAAGATGATTTGGTACATCAAAGAACAGGGTTTTTTTTCCAACTTCCCTTTCATAGGATAAGTGGTTAGTTTAAGCATTTATTGTTACGAAATGATCTCAAAAAGACCAATCGAACTGAAATCCTTTGATACCTAAAGAAAAACCGGTCAAATTTTATGAAAGGTCTTCATAACATTCTTAGTGTGAAAGTAGTAAAGGTTATGTAAAAATAATTAAAATTCGAAAAGCTGTTAAGGAAATATAATGAATTTTGAGTGGATATTAATAAGTTGAAAAGTTTGAAAACGGTATATGTATATGCATTTCAAGAACAACATCAAAGATTTTTATCAATAAGAGCGCAGTGATAAGAACAGCTACGAAAAGAAGGTATGCAGAGCCCTCAATCTCTAAAACTTTTAGTAGAGGACACGAGACTGAGGATGATCCTTATCACCCACAAGGATTTGTTTACATACATGAATTTAACTCTGTCTCTATTTTACATTTTTAATGATAATTTCACTACAGTGGATAAAAAAAAAATCAAAATAATCACTATTAATTGTCCTCAAATTTGCAAATTATCTATATTTTTACACTCGAAAAGAGTTAATAAATTTGTAATCAATCAAATCAAAAATAATATTAAAAAAAAGAAATCGCTCGAATTTCAACGCGTAAAATCTCATAATTTTTTCATAAAAAATATAAATATAAAATAGAAATTAAATATTATAAAAATATTCGAAAATTGTTTATTTAAAAAAAAATTTAAAATTTAAACTAAAAAATTTTTAGAAGTTTTAAAAAAAATTTCTAAAAAAATACCATAAAAAAATGGAAAAATTTTTCTTTTTTAAATAAAAAATTTTCGTAAATTTTCAACGAATTTCAATATAAAAATTTGATAATATTAAAGTTTATTAAAATAAAATCAATAAAAACTCACTTATCGATTATTTTATTAATTTTTCGACTAATTAATTTTTAAAAAAATGCAAAACCCCTTCCTTCCATATCCCAAAAAAAACCAACCAGTTAAACGCAAAAAATGAAAAATAATAAAAAATCGAAAAATTCAAAAAACGCGCCATAAATAAAAACATGAAGCTGTGGTCGAAATTTATCGCGGCCGCAGCACTTAGTAATCAAGGTTAGGGCCAGCTGCTAATTGTTGATCGCCTCGAAGTATTTAGGCTCTTTCTTCGGAGGGGGTAAATCTATAAATCATTAAAAAATCTAAGTGGTACTTGGTTGAATACAATAGTCGACTAAAGGCTGCTTCGAGTCTTCATAGGAATAGAGTGAGCCTGCAATAAATAGGATATTGGCCTAAGGAATATTAGCCATATTTTATTGGTCTGGCTCGTCTCGGACTTTCATCTTGCTGAATGCGCACATGCTAGGATTCTGAAAGGTATCGCATCAATAACCACCTTAAATATGAGCCTATGAAAAATTATTCACCATGGTTGTCCAAAAGAATTCTTAAAATTACCAAAAACAGGTTAAAAATATAAACCTATGCAGCCTTTATTCATTGGGGAGTCCTAAAAGTTAGATGAAATGTGATAAAAATTTCGAAGATTTTATTCGTGTCATATCGAAATGAAATTTATTGGTGACTAACATTTGAATTTTAGTAGTACCAGAGGCTATGGGTTGAGGTCAAGTTGACCTATTTGTGGAACCAATATCCTCTTCCATAATTTCTTTTTTAAGAACTATTAACTACTGGAAGAAGTTACCAAGTGAAATAGTGAAGCCTCATTCAGTCTCCATTTTTAGGACTAATCCTGATAGTATTACTTGTAATACCCTTCCCGCAACCTTAACCTCAATTGCTAGTTCCATTATAATATTTACAATATTTTGACCGCAACACCAAGTGGTAGTCCCATTGTACTGTTTACCTTATCCACAAACTCAAATATAGGTATTATTAGTTCCATAGTATTATTAATAGTTCTATCCTTTTTTCCTCCTTTTTTTCTTTATTTTGCAATTTTATTCATTTCTATTCATTTTGACCTCCTTTATTCTCATTATGCCTGGTTTATTTAAATTTAAAGGTCTACTGAATACATTATAATAAACAGTAGATTTTCATTTCTGGCCTAATGGCTATCACCTTGGTCGATGTGTTGAAATCCTGAAACAAAAGAATATTAAGAACAGTTTTTCTTCTCTTTCCACATTAACTGCATCTTAATTGCACAATAAGAAGGTAAATAGGATGGGCTTTGAGAATTAAGGAACTGAAATAGGTTTTTAGATGCGAAAGAAGTTTGGCAGAGATATTGCCTAAGGAATATGGCATTATAAATTGAAATTCACCGCGCAGAACCAAGAAGATCTTTCTATTTTTTCTTCAAAAACATTAAAATAAGCAATTATTTATAAAATTTTTTAATATTATTTATATATTAAATTTTTTAATTTTAATTATTTTCTATTAAATTTTTAATAACTTTTTAAGTTCTTCGCATTTTATTTCATTAAGTAGAGTTGGTTTCTGATTTTGGTCATTAAACTAACTCCTACGGACCCCCTAGCGATTCGTAAGAGGCCATTGGAAATCTTATTCGAATAATACATTCTCATTTTATTTGGATTAAATATGCCTATTAAAAATTTTTAGATGGAAAAATGGAATGAATATTTCAAAGTTTCGAGATCTGAAATGTTATTTTGAAGATTCATTCATTCATCCAAGGAGTCCATGAAAAAGAAAATTTAATAAATATTGGCCTATGCGGCTTGGACTTTCTTCTAATATTTCTCGCAATCGTTGCTCAGAATACCGTCCTACTGACTGTTAAAATGAAGCCTTTCCAAGCATTTCGCTTCGACGCCACATTTATAACTGGTATAAACCACTTCATTTTCTTCCAACTAAAACCATATCTTCTTCAAGCAGCTCTCATCATTACTGATTACGCTGGTTCTAGCGGCTACAAGGATAAAACACTTCCATGCGATCTGATGCCGTCATCGAAAGTAATAGAAGCCGTTCCTTTTTCCATCGTCTAAGTCCATATATTGCTGATCCACCTATACGTTCAAAATCTTTTCTGATCGTATCAGTCCAGGTTTTCATTGGTCCACCTCGCTTTGTGATGCAACCCATCACATGGTTTAGCAAGTAACGAAATATGCGTCAAATCCTGTGGTGGACGACGGAAAACGCCCTAACCAGCAAAAACGACGCACTCTGTGATAACAACTAAAACCTTTTATTATATACCGTTTATTAAAAATTTAATCATATCAATCGAGGACTCTGTTGCAGCGCCTCCCTTCTTATTCATACTTCCATAAAGTGAAATATTTGTTAATTTTTTTGTTTTTTATTTCATTAATTTACTTTTATCACTGTTTATTATTACTGTTTTTATCAATTTCTTAGTTTTAAACGGCAATCATTATCGCTATCATTAATGGAAATAATTTAAATTACTTATTATTATTGGTGCTAAGGAAAGCGAACGAAGCGTGTGAACAGCTGCTCCTCATATACTAAATTAATTTTAATTAATATTTTAATTTTAATTAATTTCAAAATAATTTTTCAATTTTAAGATTTTTCAATATTATTTTAAATATTATTATAATATATTATAATATTATTTTATTTTCAATATTATTATTTTAATTTATTATTTTTCAATATTTATTATTTATTTTCTGTACATTTTTTTTTCTATGTCCTTTTTTTAAATATATAATTCAAAAAAAATATTTCTATATTTTCACTGAATTTCTAAAGTAAATTTTCATAAAAGTTCCACTCCTTTTTTTTCCTCTTTTTTTCCTTTTGAGAAATTTAACGAAAAAGAAAATAAAATTTGAGTTCGAGAAAATCGAACTTTTGCGACTATTTTGAACTTAAAGATTTATAAAAACTCCAAAATCGAGAATAGTTGTAATGTTTTTCACAGCTATTTTATAAGTTTAATACGTGTAATGTTCATTACACAAATGAAAAAAAGAATATTTATTGTAAATGGTTGTTAACAAAGTTTAAGAAATTTGAGAGTTTTTTTTTTACAGAAATGCTAAATTAGCAGAAATTAGCTTTTTTACAGAAATTAGCTTGTATGTGGAAAGGCGTATGGCTGTTGATAAGCCACGTACCGTGATGACTTGCGACTCTTTAATATCTCCCAAAAATCTCTGTTATAGACCTATTAAATACTCTTTACTTTCTTAACACCCCACTATACCCATTTCGCCATAATCCGCTGATAAAACAATCATCTAATCATCTAAACTGATAAACCTGCTTTCTATCATTTCAACTCTTCTGATTCTCTTTGAAAAGCACCCAGTAGTATTTCTTTCATAATATCTCTACAACACCATGAAACTTAAAACTGGCAAATTATAAAAGTGCAAAGGGTAATATATGACGAGAGTGAAGGGTAAAGGAATGGCAATATTAAAAAATAATACCCTGCTACATGTAAAAAAATAGGTGCTATGAGGGGATATAAAGAGCTTTGAAAAAGTATCATAGAAAATTTTTTAGGCTTTTTTTTGAGTACTTAATAATAGTGTATTTGGATTGTTTAAGGCAAGAATCATCAAAATATTATACTATATTTTCGTAATTTAATAATTTTTTGACTTAATTGTGATGGTGATAAATTATGATTTTGGTGCAAAATGGTACGATGAGGTTTTGCCTCTCATTTCAAAGCACCGATGATTGTGGCTTACTTCTGGTAAATCTTTCAAAAATCGTCATTAATCAATTTCTTATCATATCATTTCTTATCAATATTAGCAAACCTATATCAAATATTCAAATATCCATAAAAGAATCTAAAAAAATTCCTTCCTGAAAAAAAAAGAGAATATTTTTAAAATCATTTTCGTATTTTACGTATTTTTTTCAAAATATTCACAACATATTGCAGACAAATTTTTTTTTTTTATTCAACTCTATTACGTTTTGCACAAATGTTTAAAAAATATCGTCGAATTGATGTGGCGATAATGAAAAAAAAAGGAACGGAAAGAAGAGAAAATGAATTCTTGAGAACCGATGAAAACTGATGGATATGCTAGCCGTTGTGATTGTTTGCGAAAATAAGATAAAATGGCTAGCGAAATACGAGGAAATTTTTTATTCCTTCTTACTATATTCTCAGCTAATAGTTTAGTTGATTTACCATTAGCTCCATATAATATAAAGGTATTTATTTTGTTTGCTTTTTTATTAAAATCAATTTCTTATCATATCATTTATCAAAATCAATTTCTTATCATATCATTTCTTATCAATGTTAATTTTCTTATTAAATTTTAAATTAACGCTTAACGTTTTTTACGACTAAATTTTCTATCTATCTATTTTCTATCTATTCTATTTTCTTCTATTTATCGTTTAAAAAAAAATACTTGGCAAATAAATTTTTTTTTTGTATTTTATAAACCAATAATTTTGTCATTTAATCAAATATTATCAATAAACTATGAATTAAACGAGAATTAAAACTTGTTACGTTATTATCAAATGAAATAAATAAGGCACTACATGAATGGCTTATTGCTTCGTTTAGGATTAAGCATGATGGATTCGATTCTTATCTCTTAAGTAAATCCACCATTAAAAACCTAAAAAGGCCTCCAAGTGATTTTCAAACAAAGTAGTAATCGAGTAGCGAATGCAACCAATCCTGAAAATTTTGTGAAAATAAGAATGAATGAAATGAATTGTGGAAAATATTTCTCGAAAATATTTTTAATTTTTAGATATTTTGTTATACGGGTCAAAGTAGGTCAAATCTCTCGCATAATTCGGTCGAATGTCCTTCATCAAGTACGTCGTGTGGATTTTTCCAATTGCGCTTAAAGCAAAATAGTGAACCAGTTGATATTTTCGAATGCATCGATTCGAGTATTTTATTCAACGAGAATGACGAACATGAAGAAGAGAGAGGAGTTTATTTTTAATAAATTTCTTTTCATGAAAATTATTAAAAAATATTTTTGAAATTTGAAAAAAATCAAATCTTCTAATAAAAAATATTAAAAATATAAATATTGCATTGTACTGTACTGTAAATATTAATTTTGAATATTATTTGTATTGTAGTAATTAATTTATTGTATTATTTTTTTAATTAATTATTTTATTAATTATTGTATCAATTATTATATTATTAATTATTTTATTAATTACATTATTTATTAATTATGAATATTAATTGATTAATGCAAATTTTGCTAAATAATAATTTAATTTAATAATAATTTTTTAGATTTATTTATTAATAAATATCAGTTCAATGGATTTTTTAATATTTTTTTAAATTAAAAATTGAATATTTCTTTTTATAGTTAAACTAGTTGTCTATTAATTTGCTATAATGGTTGTATTAGATTAAGCCTTTAAAGATTTCGTGGTACCAATAGTTGAAAATGAAAGAAGAATATTTTTTGAAAAATATTCATTGTAAGAAAAAAAATGACTGCTCTTAACAAATTTATCAACATTCGTTGTAAATCTTTGTTCGAATATTGATGTTTGCCAATCTTCAGCCTTTTTGCAATATAATTAATTTTGCTGAATACAACATTAGGAGGCATTCTTTAACATAATTAATAACTGCCACAAATTAATCTGTCCATAAATAATTTTCTCCTCTCATCCTTGTGACCCTCTCTCCTCACAAACCCCGTTGTATTTGCTTAGGTTCTCTTGCAAAAACGGATGTAAGCCGATTCGTCCAACCGCCTCGCCTTTAAAATTTAGAAAAAGCAAAATTTACGTGCATTGCCCGAAAATTTATATCAGCAAAAGTGGGGGATTTTCTCTCGTACTTTTCTTTTTCCTTTCCCCCATCCCCCGCTCTCCGTGCACTCATTAAAATCTTTTATCCTCAAAATATCAAAATCTCAATTACTTTAACATTTTCAATGATGACAATAGTTTATTTTTGAAAATTTTTAATTATTCCTTTCTTATTTCTTTAATATTTTTAAATATTTATTCATTAATTTATTTATTAATAAATATTTTTAAAATTTTTTAATATTTCTTAGTTCTTAAAATAAATAAAATATTAAATTCTCAAATAAAAATATATTTTTAAAAAAGTAAAAAAAATTTATTATTGGAAACTTTTAGAAACTTTTTGCGATGTTATGTAATGAAATAGCGCGATGCCATTCGATTGATTTAGCTGAATTTAATCCAGATTTTATAAAATATTTATTAACGATAATTAATATCGATATTCAATCACTTGACGAAAAACATATCAAATTTTGTTGCGCAATTGATTATACGATTCTTCAACAAATTATTTCATCGGGAACGAATAAATTACGTAAGTTTTTCGTAAATTTTATTTTTAATTTTTTCTTAATTAATTTTTAATTTAATTTTAATTTTCGAATTAAAAAAAATTGTTTCTTTTTTTTTCTTTTTTTTTTTTTTCAGCACTTTCAACGAATGGTCAAAAATATTGCTGTGATAAAGCGTGTAGAAATGGTGCATTGGGTTGTTTAACTTTCGTAAAGAACACTTCGGCAGATTTTGATGATCCATTTTTTATTCAACCTGCTTACGAGGCTTATTCTGTTCAACGTCGCCAAATTTCCGAGGTGATTATATTTTTTACTTATATGAAAAACGATAATTTTATATATTTAACAAAAAAAAAATAAAATAAAATTTAAAAAATTTTTAAAAAAAACAAATATAAAAATTTAAATATAAAAATTTGTTTTTTATACATTTATAATGCGACGCTAGAAGAAATATATTTTTATCATTTTTTGGTTAAAAAAAAAAAAATTTCTTGATTAAAATTTCTTTAAAAAAATTTAAAAATTTTAAATATATATTCGGAAGAATTTTTATTTTATTTATTCATTTTTTCTTTTTTTAATTTTTTTAATTAATATTTTTTGTGTTTCTCTATTATTTATAGTTTATAACTTAGCTGCTCTATCTTTTAGAATAAGCAAAAGCTGAATTTGTTAAAAAGAGTTCGTTGGAAAGAGAAAATGCATAGTAAATACTAAAATTTTAGTCAAAAGATAGTTGCCATTGTGTTTATCGCCATTTCAATGATGAAATTTATCGCTATTGCCTAATGATAAAAGATAAAAAGAATGTTGAGCAATGCTACTATGGTACAGGTTTTCGAATTTGTTGTTGTCTACGTGATGAAGGTTTTAGTTTTTTTATTTTAAAAAAATTCAATTTTAATAAAAATTTTCAGTTAAAAAATGAGAATAAAAATATAATCAAAGGACTAGAATGGCTCAGTGGGTTGTTGCTCGCATTTTGCATGAGTGATAAGCGAATGATAGAATTTTACTGTCTGCAGGAGTAAATCCGTCAAGAATCCTAACGACCTCTCCATAATTTTTATTAGTAAATGTTTTCCTGGCAAAATTTGTTTGATCCAGTGAAGTAGACAGTGGAATGAGCCTAACTGATGGTAAGCGCTTTTAGAAAAAAAAAAAGAAAAATTTAGTCGGAAGAAGGAAGACAAAATTTTTTGATGCATTACATTAGCCTCGCGTAATTCATAATATTCCTATAAAAATTCAATTATTAATATTGTTCACTATTAAATTCAGTTTTTAATCAATTTTCTATTTTTTTCTTCGAAAATCTTACTCGGTTTTCATTCATATTTATCTGAAGCAACAAGTAAAAATAATTAGAGTTCATCATTTTGCTTAGATTAGCTCCACTGGCTTTTAGTGCAAATAGAAATTTTTAACAGTGAATGATTTAGTGACAAAAGTGGGTTAGCAGGAATCAATGGGGTTTTTTTTAATGACTGGTTTATTATTAATAGATGGTTTATGATTTATGCTGTCTATTAGAATTAGTTTTTTCATCAGAAAATCACTTGATGGCTAGAAAGGCTTGGAAAGAAGGCCATAGCACCAGTCGGATTTTACGAAAAGGGTTGAGTGCTTCCTTGAAAAAAAGGCTGAGACCAAAGTTATAATGGTTAACCTCAGCGCGAGCAACATGCCACTCGTCCATTCTATGATTAGTTTCCTTTATTAAATTTTTATATATTTGAAAAATTTCGAAATTTCTTTTCAACTACTATTTAAAATAAAATGGCAAAAAAAGTTAAAATATTTGTAAAAAATTTTGTATATTTTGATAGAAAATTAATGAAACATTATTATTATTATTTTATTATTATTATTATTAATTATTATTAATCATTATTAATTATTATTAATTATTATTATTATTATTATTATTGAATGTATAAAATATGATACTGGAATTTACAGATCAGACTATATGCAACAATGCACCTCGACTTCCTGCAGTTCGCTCAACAACTTCAACTTCAACTATTTCTAAAGCAAATATAACAGATTTAGCTGTAATGTCCAGAAAATCGCTAGGTTTAGCGATTAATACAATGCCTGCATTGCCAGTGCGTTGTAAAGCTGTTAATAATATGGAAAAAGATGGAGCAATCATAAAAACGACTGGGTTTAGATTCAATAAATTAAAAGCTATAATTTGTTATAAAGAAAATTTATCATATTATCATAGCTCTAATAAAAATTTATATTTTATTGCCTTATTGATAATTTTTGAGATTTATGGTTATCACTAATTGATATTATTTTCAAAATATCAACTTTTAAGCCAAATAGAATTTTATATTATATTTAAGTGAAATTTATATTAAAGTTATAAATTAAAGCTATATAAGACAAAAAATTATAAGAAATTATGAAAATTTTCCCTAAATTAAAATTCCTAAAATTTGTGGCTATTTTCCTAAAAATTTTTCACAATCCTTTAGGCACAATTTGGTTTAAATCCATCATTTTTGAATATTTTCTTTCGCATTCTATTGTATATTTCTATCAAAAAATAATGATTGTTTCTAAATTGTGAATTTTTCCGTTTTTTTTTTAGATTTTAGAAGAATTTGATATTTTTTTTTATCCTTAATTTTTTCATAGTCTATTTTATTTGATATTTTAATTCGTCAAAACTTTGCCAAAATGAAAATACTTGTTTTATTAAATCGATCACTTTAAACGGGTATTCTGTAGAATTTACAAAAAATCCATCCCTTTTTCGTTTCTCTTATTTTAATTTATTTAATTTAATAATAAAAAAGTTTTAAAAAATTTAAAATGTATTGGAATATAATACAATAAAAAAACAAAAGAACGAATGCTATAATAGAATACAACAAAATGTAACTCTCCTAAAATTAAAAATTCTTTAAAATTAATTGAGAACTTGTAAAGAATTTCGTGATTTTAGTGATATATTCAGCGATTATATTAATTATCCGCTAAAAACTTAGGCTAATCAATTTAAACTAATTGTGTGATAATGGAATTTTTCCTATCAGTGCTCATATTTTTTGGTTCGACTGGCTTGCTGAACTGATGCAAAAAAATTGACAGAAAATCGCTTGTTGATAGAAGTACATGTGAATCGTTAACACCACCTGGATTTTTGAAAGGCAAGTTTATTCTTGCTAGGCGTAGAATTTCAACATCGGAATTTCGAATTTTGAGCGAAAACCTATTGAGCCATCATATTCACCTTTGGTTTCGCAATTTGGTGAAATGGTCGCCTGATGGTGCATTGAATTTGTGTCATTCTCGATGCATGTTGTCACCCGATTGGAAAAATGAAATGCAATTTTTACATATCCAAATTTTTCTGGTCAATTTAATTTAAAACGCGATAAAATTTACAATCTCACTTAAAATTTCAATGATATCAGACCTACTGGACTGGATTAATTAATTGTGACCACTGAAGACTATTATAAGATACAATAATTTTTTTATTTATACCATAATTCATTGGAAAAAACGCCTTATGGATGTGTACTTCCTGCAAATAGTTTTGAACCAAGATTAAAAATTATCAATACAACTATTTAGTGGTAATTATGATAGGCTAGCCAACATAATTCCGATAGAAGTACAGGTGAGTCACCAGCACAAAAACGGATTTTTGGACAGAATGAATTATCCCTGCGGAGAATAGAAACTTCAGCATCGGCTTTTCAAATTGAGCAACAACCGATTAAGCCATTTAATTATTCAATTAATTATTCATATACCCATATATTTTTAGAAGCATTTTTCAGATTTTTTTTTACCACTTTATCATTTATCACCTTATCATTTTCTCTGCTACTAGGTTCTTTGTATATTTATTGTTTTGATATAGTAAAAATTTCTTTAAGATAAAAATGTATTGTTCGAATTTTTCAGCGCCACCAATTTACTAATCGGTAATTCTTACTTTTCTTTTTTATTAGGCAATAAAATTTTAATAAAGCATTCAAACACTAAAAATAAAAAAGTTATTACTTAAAAGTTATTATTAAAGAATGAACAATATTGATAGATAATTACATAAACGAAAAAGATTGGTTATTTCAATAAATAAATAAAAATAATAAGCAAACAAACGGTGGTGAAAAATCGGACACTTCTCACCGATTGTTTATGAATCGTCCAATCATCCAATTTTATATTTTCTCTTCCCACTTAATTTTGGATCTTTTTTTTTTTTTTATATAAATTTTATATATTTGAATTACTATAGAAAATTTTAAATTTGCAATCGTCACTTGATTAATTGCTATTTAAAAGTTGAATAATCGAACAGCCAGTTTGTCGACCTGAAAGCATTATCATATGAATCAGTGGTACTTCTAATTTCTATCACTAAGTTACTCGACCTAGTAGTAAAATAAAGAAACTTAAAAAACAAAGAGCGCTTTTAGACGTAAAAGAAATGAATGCTCATTATCATATCATAAAAGTTTTTTAAAATCGTTGATCTCGCATAAAAATTTTTTTAAAAAGATTATAGCTAATATTATATCATTTTTAATTCGAAATAACATTTTAATTTTTTAATATCCTTCGATAAATGATTTTAAAAAATAATTTTGCTTTCAGAGTTTTTACGAAAATTTATTTTTAGATTTCATTTCATTTCAAATTTCGTTATCTTTATTTAACAAAAAAATGTAAATTATTTTTTGCAAAATAGGTTTATCCCTTTCGAAGAATAGAACCCGAGTATTGACACTCGAAAATAGTAGCAAAATCACACTGAGCCATTCTCTTTCTGCAAGCTTAAATTGCTTTCTTTAGAAAAAATCGGCAAAAACTTTTAAAAATGACAAATTTTCGTGGATGGAAACGAACTATAATTATTTTATTGGTTGTTAATTTAGCTATTATCGTATTTAAAAATCAACTTATCAATACAAATTTTACGAAGTTTTTCATTGGCTGCTCTATTCAGACTGCAAGCAATCTTCATAAAAGTTAGAGAATAGCAAATTTATTAAAAAATAAAAAATTATTCCTAAAGCAATTTTAAAAAAATTTTAGGTGCATTAGAAGCCTATCGCTCCTATCGCGGAAAAAATTTTCAAATCAAGTAATATCTATGGTTTCTTTTCTTTTTTTTTTTTTTTTAAATAAATCTATTCATTGTTATTCAGATTTTTTTTTCAGTACGGCAAAGGGAAATGTAACCTATAAAGAATTGGAAGCCGAAGTATTTGCACCAAATGGTTTTTATATAAAAAAATTTGATGTGCCAATTCCTACATTGAAAAAAATAAAAGAACAAGAATGCTCTAAAGTATTATTAAAAATTAACAATCAATGAAAAGAACCTTTTAAAACCCCGAAAGGCATCTAAAAAATTAAAATATTTTATAAAAAGGCTCCTTTAAAGCGTCGAAAGGCATCTAAAAAATTAAAATATTTTATAAAAAGGCTCCTTTAAAACCCCGAAAGGCATCTAAAAAATTAAAATTTTTTTCATCATTATATATTAAATAAGTTCATTGTTCTTTAAGGTATTTACGGATTGGTTAACTGTTGCGCGAAAATATAATCCATTTCTTACGCCTACGAAGAGAATTCCTAAGTCTCATTCCAACTTATTCACTATGAATGGTCATGCAAAAATTAAGAGGAGGTGATATATTTTTTATCATTCTTATGAAGGTTTTTTCGAGAACGTTGACTTGCATATATTTTAATCGCAGTTTTGATTTTTCTTTCTATTATTATATATAGAATTGATGAAAATCCTACAAAACCCCGTTGATTTGGTTATATTATATAGCCTGTAATGGAAATATTACAAATTCGTTAGCATAGGATTATTTCGTAAAATCTTTTTTCCTAGAAAAAACAACATTAATTAATTAATATACTGCATTTCATGTTGATTTTTCGATACTCAATTCAGATATTTCGATTCAGATATTTTGACAGTAGATTTGATTTGACTAAATTCGTTTGGTCAATGGCAGATATTAACACCTCACAAGATCCG